ATTTCACAGAGGAAGTTGTTGAAGGCTGAAGGCATCAAATCACTGTTCAAAGCCACACACAGAGCAGGTGACAGCTGAGAACAATTTCAAGCAAGCAGCTGGGAAAAAATGTTGCCCCAGAAACTGGCCCTTCATGCAGTTTCCGTGTGGCTGGATGCTGACCATGGTTCTGAATATCCTAGGTGCTGCAGAATGGGATTTCCCAGTGCCTCTGGAATTATGGGGCTCCCACCAATCACTTCCAGTTCTGAAAAACAGCATGAGACCAGGGAGATGAGAGAAAAGCATACTCAGGGAATTGGAGAGGGTTCTTAGAAGCAAAGACACAAACCAGTTAATTTAATCATAATGGCTCAGCAGGACTCAAGAGCCAAAAGGCTGGGATTCAAATTCTATTACAAGCTGAACAATCCTGGGCAGGCAATGCTCTTCACCTCTTTAATTTCCCCTTTAATTTTCTCCTCTGTGAAGTGTGACCGATAATATCAACACTGTGATATCATTTTAGAATTGTTTTGTTTGGGGGCCACTCGCCTCTGTTTGCAGGGATCACTCCCGGCAGTATTCAGGAGATCATATATGATTCTGAAGATCAAACCCAGGTCAGTCACATGCAAGGAAAGCAACGGAATGCCTTTTGTAGATCACCAGACCTTGTTTTGGGATTTTGTTTTCTTTTTGGGCCACACTTGGCGGTACTCGGAGCTTACTTCTAGCTCTGTGTTCAGGAATCACTCCTGGAGGGCTCAGGGGACCATATTGAACCCAGGTCAGCTGCATATAAGGGAAGTCTCCTACTCACTGTAGTGTCTCTCCAGTCCTTGCTTTGAATATTTTTGAAATAAGAAAATGAGGATGGGGAGCTCAAAGTGTTAGAACCTTGCTTGGCATGCACCCCAGCACCACAAGGCCTCCTCAGTACTGGAGTAGATCTGACCACTGAACCATCAGGCCTGTACTTCCAGGTTGAGGGTCACAGGCAGTGGCTCCTTTTATAAAAAAACATTTAATTGAATCACTGTGAGAAGCACAGTTACAAATTTGTTTGCGATTGGTTTCAGTCATACAATGTTCCACAACCATCCCTCCACCAGTGTACATTTTCTGCTACCAATGTCCCCAGTTTCCTCCTACCACTGGCCCTTCTCACTCAGCCTGCTCCATGGCAGAGGATTTTCTTCTTTCTTTCTCTCACTCTTGCTCTCTTCCTCCTCTCTCTCCTTTTGGGCATCATGGTTTTCAATAAAGGTACTGAAAGGTTATCATGTCCCTCTACCTACTTTCAGTACTCAGATCTTGTCCAGAGGTTTCACTTACTTGAGTTAACAGCCTAAATTTTGGGCAGGTTAATTTCTTGGTGAACTCGTTTTTGAGGTGATGGAGTCTGGCCAGAAGCATGGTGGTGACTTTGGAGTGTGGGAGCGAGTGAGCTAGTGGCTGCCAGGGCTCTGTTCAGGCAGGCATCCTCCAATGCGCCCCAGATGATTCAGTCATAAGTGGGTGTCTGAAACATTTTGTGGCTGGTTGGTCTCTTTTAAGATTTATTTATGGGTCTCTGGAGTAGGGCCAGTAGATGAGCTTGCATGGTGGCACCAGAGGTGGTTCATGGGTGTGACTGCTGGGGTTGCTGGAAGTACAGGGAAGTGGGGAGAAGTAGCCCATCCCAACTTGGAAAAAACCTGGTGATTTCAGTTACAGAGATCCACATACCTAAATTTTTGGCTGATTAATTATTCAGTTAACTTGGTCCCTGTAAGTTCAAGCGTAGGTGCGTTCGGTAGCTGGGAACCGCCTCCCCAGCCTGGTTGACAGTGATGGATGAAGGAAGGAACAGGCGACAGGCTGGTTGGTAATCAGTGACCATTTATTCAAGTCTCATACCATCAATTATATAGAAATCATGGAGGGTGGAGGTACACATAGGTGTGGTTGAACATTATCATAGCAATAAACAGATGTAAAGTCCTTCCTTCAGGGGAAGTTCTTCTAGGAGATTAACTTGTCAGCACTCAGCACTCAAGATTACTAGGAGATCCACTGGGGGGGGGGGTGTATTCCATCTAAGAGCACGTTGCTTTCTCCTCACATTAAATTTACTTCTTAACTTTTAATTTACTTCTTTACTTTCTAGTCATCTTGTGTGAACAAAATAAGATATATTAAGCTAAAAGGGTAGTTCTTCCAGGGGACATCTCGCTATATATTCAAGACTACAGTCTTCAGGCCAGATTAGTCCTTCCTAATGCCAGAAGGGTACTTATTCAGTTACTTCTTTTTGGGCCATGACAGAGTTTGTTCCATGACCGTGCTCTTAACTTTTATACTTATACTTTTCATTGTGCTTAGCCTGTCCCTTTCAATGCCATGGTAGCAAACTGCTTGCCCTGGGTTCATCCAAGTCCCTCTCCAGGACCCTCCTTTTGGGGGTGTTAGGAAGTAAGGGCAACTGAGGCTTAAGTTAAGTAAATATGACGGATGCCCAGGAGTAAATATTATTCAGAGTTAATTATCTCCCATGTTATAAAAGCATAGCATCAACTGTCTTCCTATGTCTATACAGAAAGGACATGCTACACTATGCAAAGGACATAAAGGAAAGAGAAAGAAAACACAAGATTAAGAACATCGGAAGGAATTGGGTGTGCCTCTGGAACACTGTGATGGGTGCAACTCAATAAACCTAAGCTCCTTGTGAGAGGATCAAGGACAAATCAATGTTATCCATCAGGTCCCAATGTGATGGAGTCTGGCTGGAGGCACGGTGGTAACTTTGGAGTTGGGAGCAAGCAAGCAGCTGCCAGGTTTGAGCTCTGTTTGAGCAGGCAGTGGCCCTTATTTTTAAAAGCAGAGTTAATAAACCCATATCCGGCATACAGTTAATATTTGCTATTATTATTTTTTCAATAATCTATTTTTTAGATTTAACTCAGGCCCGGCCTGTTCCAGGCCCTAGAGACAAAACAATGAGAAAATAGAGACATTACCTCTCCCCTGGGGAGATGATGATTTAGCCAATATTCTAATCCATACCACAACTCGGTTTTTCATTTTGAAGGAAAGTATGCAGAACCCTACAGAACTAGCAGGTTATTTCTTATAAGTACCGTGCACTAACCGATTGCACCACTGGAGCCACACCGGATGTGGGCACTAGCAGGTTATTTCTTTTTTTTTTTTAATTTTTAATAGTGAGACATCATGAAATACAGTTGCAGACTTACACATTTTTGTGCTTCGGTTTCAATTATACAATGATCAAATTAGCAGGTTATTTCTTAAAATTTCTATTTATAGGTTAAGTTCATATACCAATTGTAGCACTGTCCTCCTGTTGTTCATCGATTTTCTCGAGCGGGTACCAGTAACGCCTCCATTGTGAGACTTGTTACTGTTTTTGGCATATCAAATACGCCACAGGGAGCTTGCCAGGCTCTGCCATGCGGGTGGGATACTCTTGGTAGCTTGCCAGGCTCTCTGAGAGTGACGGAGGAATTGAACCTGGGTCAGCCACGTGCAAGGCAAACACCCTACCCCCTGTGCTCCAGTCCTATATACCTGGGACTATATAGTTGGGGCGCCTGGGTTGAGTGGCTGCTCGGAGCCAACCATCTGGAACCCACTTGGCTCCGCACAGATGCTCTGGACATGATTCCAAGGCATATACCAACAAGTAGGAAAAATTATCCCCTCCTTCCTTGGGAATTTGGGGCAGAGAGAGAGAGAGAGAGAGAGAGAGAGAGAGAGAGAGAGAGAGAGAGAGAGATAGGTCGGAGGGACTAGGGTCAGCTAACATGGCAAGTTAGCATCCTCATTGGTTAAACTCACAGGTGTGTTGGACTAAATGGAAGCGATTTCTGAATAACTGATACGGTTACTCTTAGCGGGAAGTTGGGCTCTCCAGCTCACCACAGTTCTTCCCGGCACCCAGGCTGTGTGGATTATTTCTGTGTCATCTCTCAACCCAAACCCCTTCTCTTTGTGCTACTGTTGGTCTATGTCTCAGCAGATTGAGACTCTGGCGTCTCCAATGCCAGGGACCCTGAGGTGTCGGGTGTGGAGGCAAGGCAGAGACTCAGTTCTGCCACAGCCTCCTTTGCTCTTCAGAGATTATGACAGAGGAGAATCTGAGCACTCTGCTCCTCCCCCATTCTCTTCTAGAGTCTTCCATGATGACATCACTCCAGTTCCCAGTCTCCTGTAAGGGCCAGGCCTGCCCAAATGGAACCATATGTCGTCTCGTGAAGCGCAAGCCTAAATGCGTGCGCAGCACCCAGGTCACATCCGGGTCAAAGCCTATGTCCAGCCCCAGGACAGAAAACGGAAAGGACTCAAAAGCAGCATCCCTCTCCAGCCCTAGAACCCTGGCAGTGGCCAAATCAGGATCAGCAAGCACACCAGCAGTGAAGCTGGGCCTTTTCTCCATGGCGGGGGCTGATCTGGGGCTTGCACGTGAGGCTGTGAATGAACCCCAGACTAATCCTGCAGCTGTGGGGGAGCGAGCACTTGCACCCGTGACTGGGAAAGAGCCAGTTCCTTCCCTCCTCGCTGGGGCTGAACTCTCACCTCTGCCAGTCCCCCTGGCCGTGCCCGCTGCCACGCCAGAGGCTGGAGCGATGTCCAAACCCCAAACAGAGTCTGCATCAGAAACTGTCCCTGTGACCCAACGAGGGGTAAAGCTGATGGCAGCAATGGAACCAGGCTTAGAGGCCAGGGCAGGGGCGAGACCACAGTTGGAAACTGGGCCTGGGTCCAAACTGGGGTTCGTGGCAAAACCAGACACAGTTGCTCTCTCTAGTGAGGGACAAGAGGCTGTCATGGGGGGTACCTGCTGGGCCTCAGGGCTACCATATATCTATACCTTTGATGGCTACTCATTCCCTGTGCTGGGCGGCTGCACCTACACCCTGAGCCATTGCCCTGAGCCCCTAGCCAGAGGCCTCCCTGCCTTCCACCTGTGGGCTGCCTGCTCTGGGGCAAGGCAACCCATGCACGCGGTCACCATGCGCATCTTTGGCACCACCATCACTGCTGTCAAGCATGAGTTTGGCTTCATCCGGGTAAGACTTCTAATGTCCAGATGCCTGGAACACCCCCTTCTTCTCTCTTCCTCATAAGCATCACCTCTAAAAGTGAGGCAGCTATGCAGGTCCCCAGTCCCTTATCTGAAAGGTTTGGGGTAAGGTGCCTTTCAGATTCAGGGACTACAATTGGTCATAACCCACCAGGGCTACCAATTATACAATGCGCCCAGTGGGAGTTGCATAATCACACACATTAATATCTCTGCAGTGAAATATCTGAATATTCACACAAAGTGGGATAAATTAAGACTCTGGGCAGCCACACAGCCTTTGCTGCCAATTGAGTTTTAGCATCAAGCACATCTTGCCATCTTCAAACCACTTTCGCGCTGAGGGGGGGATCAGTGAGGACTGTGGGTGTCTAGCACCTACCTCATCACGTTCCCATGAGGTGGGAATGTGTTACCAGGTGAAAAGCACTTGGAACAGTGTCCTCCTCCTCGGCGTCGTAAGGAGCACTGTTTGTTCCCTGCACTGACCCCTCCCATAGACATTAGACCCTCCAAAGTGTCTGAGCTTTGGAAACACCCAGGGACCACACAGTAGCCACTGGCATGGTCCAGATTTCCCCTCAGGGAAGGTTCAGGAGCAATGCTCTGATTGGAAGGTGTGGGGGCTAGGTCATTAAGTTGGGGTTGCTAAAGGGTACAGACCTCTTAGTGGGGATAGATGTAGCACCCCTCAACACGGCTACAGATAGGCTCTGGGACCACAATGTAGCTGCAATAGTCCAGGCAGGAGATTCTGGGCCATCCCCCCTGGTCAAGCTCCACAAGTGATAACTTAGGCCTTTGCTGCTCAGAATATTTCCTGTTGCAACAGCCCAAGTGGTGAAGATGAGAGAAAAGGAGGCAGAGGGGGGTGGATGAGGGCGCCAATGAAAGGAAGACAAGGATTGGGAGAGAGAGGCAGTATCTTCTTTTTTACTAGAGATATGGGTGGTGGGCCAGAGCAATAGTACATGGGTTAAGTCATTTGTCTTGTAGGCAGCTGGCCCCAGTTCACATCCCAATCCCTACATATGGACCCCTGAGCACTGTCAGGGCTTGCTCCTGAGCAGAGAGCCAGGAATAACCCTTGAGCATCACCAAGTGTGACCCTGAAACCAAAACCAAGAAGGATGAGTGAACTGGAAAGAGACTGTTTGGGGAGGGTGCTGGGATCACACTGTGTCATGTTTAGGGGATATTCCTGGCTCTGTGTTCAAGGTGTGACTCCTGGCAGGGATCGAGGGACCACATGCAGTTCCCAAATAGAACCAGAGCTCACTGTATTGTTACACTTGTTTTTTTCTTTTTGGGTCACACCCGGCGTTGCACAGGGGTTACTCCTGGCTCTGCAACTCAGGAATGACTCCTGGCAGTGCTCGGGGAACCATATGAGATGCTGGGAATCGAATCCAGGTCGGCCACGTGCAAGGCAAACGCCCTACCTGCTTTGCTATTGCTCCAGCCCCTATTGTGACACTTAACCCCGTATTCTGCCAAGGAGGAAACTGTGCTGACTTTTATCTGAGTCCTGTGAGGATTTCTAAGGCCTCCTGAGGAGACACTTGGGGCTTAGAAATCAGCCTGGGATGGTGCACCAGAGCAAGACCTCACACACTCCAGAATTCCTCACTCCCTCTGAACCCCATCAGCCAAGCCTCTTAGCTTCCTCCCTTCAGCCCTCCCCACTGCTGAGGTACAGGGATTCCGTGATTCCGACTCTTCTGTCCCCCTGCAGGTAAACCAGCAGCAGATGGAGCTGCCCGTGACCCTGGGGGATGGGCAACTGCGACTCTCCTTCCGCAGCTCAGAACTCTGGGCTGAGGCCGGCCTGGAGCGGGAGCCAGTGGCTCTGCGCCTGGTCTATGACTGGCAGTATGCACTGTCTTTGCAACTGGCTGCTGGCTACCGGGGCCATGTGGCCGGCCTCTGTGGCAACTTCAATGGGGACCCTTCAGATGACCAGGAGGGCCCTGACCCGCGGGCCTTCTTGCACACATGGGGTCTGCAGTTGCCTAATGACCCCTGCCGCACCCTCTGGGCGGCCCCCTGCACTGTGCCCACAGCCCCACTATGGACCCCAGAGCCCTGCGGAGTCCTGGCTGCTCCGAATGGGCCCTTTCGCCTCTGCCACGCTGTGCTACCATCGGCGTCCTTTGAGAGCAGCTGCCGAGCTTGGACCTGCTCCTTTCCCAACCATCGACCTGCGCTGTGCCAGGCCATCCAGGTCTACGCCCGTGCCTGCCAACGTCTGGGTGTCAGCATCGACTCCTGGAGATTCCAGGCTGGCTGCCGTGAGTGAGCAGGAGTGAGCGGGAGTGAGCCATAGCTTCTGGGAAAAGGGATCTCGGGGCCCAGGGCCAGGAAAAGGGATCCTGGGAGCCGGGCAGGGCACTCCTTGGTACCTGGTCATCCTCCATGCCCTGCACAGGTCCATGGTCCCTTCCAAGGATGGCCATCGGGTCCTGGGCTTGGAACCGCTGAGATCCCAGAACCAGGAATCTGGGATTTTGTTTGGGACTGAATGACCCTCTGCCCCAGGGATGGAGCTCTTGGGGCCCAGGAGAGGGGATGGAGCGATAGCACAGTGGGTAGGGTGTTTGCCTTGCACGTGGATGACCCAGGTTTGATTCCCGGCATCCCATATGGTCCCCTGAGCTGCCAGGAGTAATTCCTGAGTGCAGAGCCAGGAATAATCCCTATGCATTGCTGGGTGTGACCCAAAAAAGCAAAAAACAAACAAACAAACAAAAACCCACAGGGGAACTTACTTCTGAGAGCAGAATTCCCAGATTTTATTTTTCTGTTGTTTTCATTCTGGTTCTGCACTCAGGGCACAATATGGGGTGCAGCAGATCAAATTCAGGTTGGCCACTTTAGGCACCCTACCCACTGAACTGTCGTTTCAGCCAGCGGGACCCCAAGTTTGATAGAAAAATCCCGGCTAAAGACTTCAGGTTGTGGGCTCAGAAGTCTGCGACTCATCTCGGAGCTTAAATTTCATTTTCTGAAGCCTGGTCCTGGGTCCTGAGGCCAGAAAGGGGTCTCTGCATTGGGGGTAGCTGGATCTAGAGGCTGGAAAGTCCCATTTAGGGAGTGAAATTCCCAAGAACCCGTAAGACTCCCGAGTGCTGCAGTAGGAACCCCGCCACCCCGGGGTGGGGACAGAATGCTGATGTCTCAGTAGCCGTGCCCTACTGTGACACTCTGCCCCCTCACTTTACTCCCTAGCCATCGACTGTCCCCCGAACAGCCACTATGAGCCGTGCGGGTCTTCCTGCCCAGAGACTTGTGTGAGCTTGTCAGAAACGCTGTCTTGTCATCTGCCCTGCGGAGAGACGTGCGCTTGCGACGCGGGCTACGAGCGCAGGGGCCCCCTGTGCATCCTGCGGCGTCGAGGCCTGGTGGGCTGCGGCTGCACGCACGGGGGCCACCGGCTGGCTCCGGGCGAGGAGGCCTGGGAGGGTGCGGGGTGCACGCGCCGCTGCCTCTGCCCGGCCGCCGGTGGGGTCGTTGTATGCCGCAAGGCCGGCTGCAGTCCTGCCGAGCGCTGCGCCCTGGCTGACGCTCGGCCCTTCTGCCGGCCCCGGGGTCCTGCCACGTGCACCGCCGCCGGCGGGGGCCATTATGTCACCTTCGATGGGCGCCGCTTCCGCTTCCCCAGCAGCTCGTGCGCCTACCTGCTGAGCGGCCTCCGCTCCCCTGCGCCGCGCGGGCTCGCAGACTTCCGCGTGCTCCAGAGCACCGGGCCAGAGGGAGCCCCCAGCAGCCTGGAAGTGCACGTGCCAGGGTTCCACCTGAGACTCGACGCCCAGGAACCTGGCCGGGTGATGGTGAGAAAGATCTCAATTCTTTGGCCGAATTTGGTATCATTTTATTTATTTGCTTATTTATTATTATTGCTTGGGCGGGCAGACCCCGCGGTGCTCAGGGGATCTGCACTCAGAAATCACTCCTGGCGGGGCTCAGGGGATTATATATGGTCCTGGGGATCAAACCGGGGTCGATCACTGCAAGGCAAGCGCTCTACTATCTCTCTGGACCTGAATTTGATATAATTTTAAAAAAATTGTTTTTCGAGCCACAGCTGGCAATGCTCAGGAGTTGCTCCTGGCAGTGCTCGGGAACAAAGTGGGAAGTTGGAGACTGAACCCAGGGGATAGAACCCAGGTTGACCTAATGCAAGGCAAATGTCCTACCCGTTGTACTATTGCTCCAGTCCCTTGATAGCAGTTTAAAATGACGATGACTGCACTCTGATATCTCTGAGGAAATCAAGAATTCTGACAGCAGGTCCTCTATCTTCATGCCCACTGTGGTAGGGGTTTCCACTGCTAGTCCTGTTTACACTCCGGTTTAGCACAGTCCCCACCACAGCCCACTGCATTCCACCCAACCATTCCATCTATTGTTAATCACCAGGCGCTAATAGGTTTTATATGTTAGTCACCTGGCACCAGGGTAATTTTTCTTTTCTTTTTTTATTTATTTGCATTTCAGTCACATCTGGCAATGCTCGGGCGTTACTCTTGTCTCTGGAATCACTCCTGGTGGTGCACAGGGAACCACGTGAGATGCTGGGAATTGAATCTGGGTCAGCCTCATGCAAGGCAACTGCCCTATGCCTTGTACTATAGCTCTGGCCCATGGGAAGATTTTTTTCTTTTTTTCTTTTCTTTCTTTTTTAAAGTAGATTTTTAAAAATTTTTAAATGAAACACCGTGGGATACAATTACAGACTTACACACTTTCATGGCTACATTTCAGTCATACAATGGTCGAGTACTCATCCCTCCACGAGTGGCACAAGGTTTTATACCAGGTTTGGTCTAGCCCTAACTTCACTTTGTGGTGGGCCCTAATCCCCAAATTTAAGTTCCATCTCCTGCCCCAAGATGTGCTGTGTACAACCATAAAACCTTATAAAATCCCAACAACAATTCTCCGGGTGGGTGCTATTATTTCCCTCATTTAGCACAGCGGTAGGGCGTTTGCCTTGCACGCAGCCAACATGGCCGACCCGAGTTCGATTCCTCCGCCCCTCTCGGAGAGCCAGGCAAGCTACCGAGAATATCTCGCCCGCATGGCAGAGCCTGGCAAGCTCCCCGTGACGTATTCGATATGCCAAACAAAGTCTCCAATGGAGACGTTACTGGGCCCGCTCGAGCAAATCGAAGATCAATGGGAGGGCCTTTACTTTACTTAAGCTTTCGAAGTAACACAACTAAAACAAAACGCCAAATCCATAAACCAAGATCTAAACCCAGATGGTGTGGCTCCAAAGGTGGCCCCGAAGATAAAAATAAGCACTTCAGAGAGATAGTACAGCATGTAGGGAGCTTGCCTTGCATGCAGCCGAACCGGTTAGATCCCTCGTACCTCATGTAACCCTCAAGCACCACAAGAAGTGATCCCTGATTGCAGAGACAGGAGTAATCCCTTAGCGCTGGCAGATGTGTCCCCAAAACAAAAAGGCATTTAACCATATTTTACTCTGATGACACATGTAGTTGTTCAAGTTCAGCCATGTGAAGTTGCCAGTGCCTGATGTTTTTGTCTACTAATGTAGTAATTTCATACAGTTTGACCTAAGCCTTCACATTCCTGGTATAAAACTCTTAATGCTGACTCAAGAATTCTAGAGTCTGGGGCCAGAGCAGTAGTACAGTGGGTAGGGTATTTGCCTTGCATGCGGCTGACTCAGGTTCGATCCTTGCCATCCCACATGGTCCCCCAAGCACTGCCAGGAGTAATTCCTGAGTGCAGAGCCAGGAGTAACCCCTGAGCATCACTGGATATGACCCAAAAAGCCAAAAAGAAAAAATAAAAGAATTTTAGACTATTATGGACTGCAGTTTGCCATAGCTATCAGCCCTTGTTCTGGAATCCTAGAACCCCATGTGTTCCAGGAATTATTCTGTTTTTCACATGTGCTAATTGAATTTTATGTTCCACTCTTAGTCCAAGTTTTGGCCACCTCCTGGCCCAGTTTAGGAATTCCAGCCCCATAGATCCCAAGGTTCACAGACCTTCACTGTCAGTCCCAACTCCAGTGAGCCGACTTGGTCAGAACCATGGACAGCAGACTCTGTTTAGGCGGGTTGGGTTGTAGTTGTTATTGTTTGTCTGGGGGGCTACACAGGGCAGTACTTAGGGGTTACTCCTGGTTCTTTACTCGGGAATCACTCCTGGCAGTGCTTGGGGAGCTACATGGGATGCTGGGGATGGAACCCCAGTTGGCTGCATGCAAAACAAGCATCCTAGCTGCTGTACTATCTCTCTGGCTCCCTGGTTGTATTTTTAACCACATTTTTTTTCTTTTTGGGTCACACCCGGCAATGCACAGGGGTTACTCCTGGCTCTGCACTCAGGAATTACCCCTGGTGGTGCTCAGGGGACCATATGGGATGCTGGGAATCGAACCCGGGTTGGTCACATGCAAGGCAAATGCCCTAGCCACAATTTTTTTTCAACCCTTGTGCTTTTAACCATTAGGGTAAGCCCTGAGAGCCTCCAGATGTTTCTTCTAACCCTCCCCAAATTAAATATTTTGTATGAATGTTATTTCCAGAGGCCCCAGCTTTCAACTCCCCAGATCTAATCCAGAGTCCACACTTGTTAGGAAAGAGCTGGTGATGGACAGCACCCAGGGGCAATGAGCACTGACCCCGAACCCCTCAGCAGTTCCCACCCCACCCCCACCCACACTGGTCCTCCAATTTTTACCCACGTATCCAAGACTCCTTGGTGCTGACACAGTTACCAGACCCCAGCTTTACATACCTTCTTCACACAGGTCAATGGAGACTGGCAGAATCTACCATTCCGGGCTCCAGACAATGGCACACTCATCTTTCGCCGAGGCTGGGACACTGTGGTCCACTGCTCCTTTGGGCTGCATGTGATATATGCCCCAGAGATCCGTGTGGCCCTGGATCTTCCAGAAGCATATCGGGGCCATGTGGTGGGGCTTTGCGCAGACTACAATGGGGATCCCTTGGATGACCTTCGGGTGCCTGGGGTTTGGGTCAACCCTGAGCTGCCTGAGGATGCGCTGGCCTGGGCCTTCGGCCACAGCTGCTTGGTAGACTCCTCAGCAGGGTGCCCAGATGCTGCTGCCAAGATACCACCACCGCTACCCTCCTGTGTCACCCTGTCAACCTCCAGCACCTCAGCTCACTTCTCCCATAGCTGCAGCATCCTCTTGGACCCTCGGGGACCCTTTCAGCTGTGTCATGAGCTGCTGGCACCGAAGCCCTATTTCCAGGACTGCCTGGTGGGGGTCTGCCAGGGTACCGGGCCCTGCCCCATGCTCAGCCTCTACTGTGAAGCCTGCCAGCTGTTGGGGCTCCAGGTCGCCCCCTGGCGGAAGGCGAGCCTGTGCAGTGAGTGTCCTAGCCTCAGCCAGCCTATCTGGTTTTGCTATCTGGGAAGTCTGGCTCCACTTCTTACCGTTGTCCAAAGCTGGCTGCCAGCCCCTCTCTGCACAATTTAGTATCTGAGATCGATCCTCCATGACGCTCTGACCAGCCCTCACCCTCTGCCCACCAATCCGGGAATATCAGCCTGACTCTGACTGGAGCCCAGCACCTTTGCTCTTATGTTCCCAACTTCTCAGCTCTGCCTGTGATCAGCCCAGAATTTCACCCCTGACTTGTTCAAGGGCTCAGAGTGTTGAGGCTCCAACCTCCAAGCCCTTCAGCTTAGCTCTGCCTCCTGCTCTAGCAGGCCCTACTGACACCCCCTGCCTGTTCCAGCCGCAGCTCTGCCCCAGTGCGGCTTGCCAGAACTTACCCTGCAAGGGCTCCAGGAAGACCCTGCGACCCACGTAGCTGGAGGGTGGAGGGAGTGAGAGGAGTCAGAGCAACCGCTTACTGCCCAGTAACCCCATTCCCCCTGTTGCCCGCAGGCCCGCTGTGCCCCGCACACGCTCACTACTCGCTCTGTGCCCCCGCCTGCCCCATCACCTGTGCCGGGCCGGAACCAGCGCCCAGCTGCGGAGGCGACAGGCGCTGCCGGGAGGGCTGCGTGTGCGACCCGGGCTTCGTGCAGAGCGGCGCCGCCTGCGTGCCCGTGGCCCAGTGCGGCTGTCTGCTGGGAGGCCACTACTTTGAGCCGGGCGCCCCGCTGCCACCGCTGGGCCCATCCTCCACCACACTCGGTCCCTGCTGCCGCTGCCACGCAGGGGGGCGGGTGATCTGCGCCCCGTGCCAGGTGGCTCAGGACAGCCCAGGACTCTGCCTGGCCTGGGGCGGGCTCGGCTACCGAACCTTCGACGGCGCCACCATCCATCTCCCCGGCTCCTGCACCCCCTTGTTGGTGGGCACCGGTCGTGCCCGCCTGCAGGGGGTGTGGCCTTTCCACGTGACTCTGGAGAGAGGCGCCGAGTCCAGCTCAGCCCGTCACGTGCTGCTCCACGTGCAAGGCCACCGCTTCAGCCTGCACTGCCAGGACTGGGGGTACCTGATGGTGAGCCACTACCTGCCGCATCCCACTGGTCTGTTCTCGTGAGCTCTCGCTCGGTGCCTCCTCTGCGCGCCCTCACGTCTGCTCTGCTCTTCCTCCTTCTTCTGTTTCCCCCCTCACACACTGCCAAGCTCTGCCTTCAGTCCGCCTCTTCTCCCCCCACCCGGGCATGCCCCCAGCTGCCTCTGCCGCACCCCCAGTCTCCATCCCTAACTCCCCTCAACTATCACTGTGCTCCCCCTTCAGCCCTCCTCCTGTTGAACTTGCCCCAACCACTTCCTGCCTGTCCTTTCACCCCCAGAATGGCCCCTGCTAACTGCCCCCAATGTCCCTCTCTCTTTCCCTGCTCTGGGGTGCCCCACAGAAACCCATGCATGCCCTAGACAGAAATCCTCGTCATCCGTCTTCCCTCACCAGCCCCTACCCCCACTTCTTCCTTGTTTTCAGAGCCCACTCCCCAGCTCTGTCTTGATGGCCCCCCACTCTCCCCTACATTTCACCCTCATGCTCCTCCCCCACCCCAATGCCTCTGATCCCCCTCAGAGCCCTCACATACTCCCACACTCTCCTTCTGAGTCTCCCCACCCCTGACTCTGGGCTCCCCACAGGTGGACGGGGTGCGGGCCTGCCTGCCCTTCACACTGCCCAGCGGTGGGGTGCGTGCCTTCACGCGGGGCGCGACTGTCGTGCTGGTGGTGCGGGGAGGCCCACAGCTGCTGTTCCATCGTGACTGTCACCTGAGCGTGGTGCTGCCCAATGCCTACCGTAACCTCACACAAGGTCTCTGTGGCAACTTCAACGGCCATGCCCAGGACGACATGCCACTGTATGAGCCCTGCCCGACGCTGCACCCCTGCCCAGGCTCCGGCTGTCCCACGGATGCCCAGGTCACAGACGTGGTCACGGACACAAACACGGTGTGGCCCAGCGCCTGTGACCTCTTGCGAGAGCCCAGCAGCCCACTAGCCCCCTGCCATCCCCACCTGCCACCGCAGCCCTTCTTCCAGGCCTGCACTGCCGACGTGGGCAGCGCCCATGGGAGTGACCCTGTGATCTGCGCCTGGCTGCAGGCCTATGTGGCTGCCTGCCACATGGCAGGTGCCAGTGTGCGACCCTGGAGGGGCCCCAGCTTCTGCTGTAAGTGTTTAAGTGTGGGACATTCAGAGCTGGTGCGGTGGGGTCATGGGTGTAAGGCCTGGTTTTCAGTCATCACCAAGGTGGACGGAGGCATCCTCTGGACTGGGACCTCACCCGACATGACAACCCATGGGGCAGTGTCCCCACCACCTTCCTGCTGGGAGGATATTTGTGCCACCTCTGAGCTTGCATGCAGAGTGTCATTCTGTATAAGGCACTTCTCAAGTACTGTCCCTAAACTGGCATCAGCAGCAGCATCCAGGGCTGGTGAGAAATGCAAAAAGAAAAAAAAGGAAAAAAATTTTGCATGTCTGAGACCCTGGGTACAAGCATGGCTGACACAAACCACAAACCAAACTCTTGGTCTGAGAATGTGGCTCAAAGCAGGTCTGAGTTTGATTCCTTATAGCCTATGGCCCCCTGCACTGCCTGGTGTGATCTCCCCACAACAGAGACCCAGAAATGTTGGGGAGATGACTCAGGGCTGGAGCACGTGTCTTCATGCATGAAACCCAACATTCCAGTCTCTGCACATCCCGCCCTCGTGAGCATGACAGGATGTAGCCCTGGTGCTTCCATGCAGTACAGCTGGCTCTGAGCAGCACCGCATCACTGACCCAAGTATGGAACCACTGGGCCAGAACTTATGGGTCAAATATGCCCACCAGCTTCCCCAAGCATCACTGGGAAGGCCCACAAAAGTCACAAAATAGGGCAGGGCAATACAGCAGGTTGGGTGTTTGTCTTGACATGGCTGACCTGGTATGGTCCTCCAGGTATCCATACGGTCCCCTGAGTCTACCAGGAGTAATTCCTGAGTGCAGAGTCATGAGTAACCCCTGACTATGCTGGGTGTGTCCGAAAGCCAAAAAAAAAAAAAAAAGAGAGAGAGAGAGATAAAGTCACAAAATAGAACTGAATTTTAAAATACATAAATAGATAATGCAAAGTCTTGCCCTGTTCAGATGTACTGAATCAGAAACGTGAGTGGAGCCCAGCAAGTGTGCATTAACAAGCGCCCTAGGAGACTCAGATGCTAAGTCATTCTGCAGCTCTTAGCCTGAAAGCTGGTGACCTGGCCTTTCCATCTGGCTCTGGAATCCTTGCCCTGACACCCCATGCTCTAGCAGCTCTCCCTCAATAACGCAAAAAAGCGTTCCAATAATAACATGAAAAGGACAGATGGCCCTTACTGAGTATTTCTTGGTGCTAAGCCCTATACAGCCTCAGTTAATTCTCCCCCAAAGCCCCATCAGGAAGGGACACCTTATGGATGAAGGAAACAGACATCGATGGGGAAGAAATTTGCCCCATGTTACACCCCGAGAAAATGACTTCTCTGACATGAGAACATCTGTTAATGCACTTAGCAACTGTTCTCCACCTGATTCCACATGCCTGGTCCTCACAGCATGGTCCTTCATGCCAGTGCCCATCCCTTTCCAGCCCGTTTCCAGGCTCATATGCCCACAATGGGAAGCTGTTTGGCTTTTTTATTTTCTGGTTGTGCTGGGGATCAAACCCAGAACCTCACTTGTGAGAGGCCTATATTCTATGTCTCTGTTTTTAGTTTGGGGGCTTCGCATGGTGGTGTTTAGGGGTTTAGGGGCTACTCTTGGGTCTGTGCTCTGAGGTTGATTCTGGCAGCGCCCGGGGAACCGGGTGGTGCCAGGGATAAACCCAGGCCTCTTACATCCGAAGTCTGCACTCCAGCTCAGTGAGCTTTATCTCTGACCCTGTTTGGCATCTTTGATTGAATGATGAACAAGGTCTCTTTTCTCTGTCCAGCCCTGGCCCAGCTGTGTCATGGGGACTCTGTGTGACCATGATATCACAGAGGATTCTGACAAAGAATAGTCAGCATCCCAGCTCACACTGGAGAGGGATGAACAAAGGATTGGGAGCAGATGTAATGAGGGTATTTCTGCCTTCCAGCGTAGCTAAACTGAGAGGCTTCCATTGCAGTTGGGAGAAAATCTGTTTTTCTCTCCTTTGCCTTGGCCTGTGTTAGCTTTATTCCCAGGCAGGGTCTTCCTGCCTGGTAATAGCAAGGCCTCAGCACTTCTGCTGCCAATCCCACCAGTTTCAAAGCCCATGGGGTAACTTAATGCCCTTTTCCCATTGGCCCCTGCTGAAGTTCCGGCTGCTGCCCACGGATGTTACCTGACCAATCACTGTCTCTCTAGAGGGGGCAGAGTGCTCTGATTGGCTGGTCCCCTGCAGAGTCTGGCAGTGAAAGCAGTCCACATGCCCAAAGCATCAAGGCTGGTGCCCAAAAGGAGGCAGAGGGGCTGTTATGTTAGAAGGATGAAGGCTAGACTTCGGCCTGAGTGTTCTCTGTGGGATTCACCTCAGGCTAGAGAACAGACTTAATCACCTAATCCTCTGATGGTTAACCCCTGCAGCACGGGCTGAGTCAGGGGGACCAACTCCCCGACAACACAGAGGAGGGAAGTGGAACTCACCATACCTAAGGTCCATTTGAGTCATTAGCACAGTATATGCAGACACCACTTAACCCTGTAGGGGGCTGTTCTTGATGTTCTTATGAAGACAGGATGGAGGGGGGTACTGGAGGGGAAGGGCATTTCTGGGGAAAGCAATATCCACAGAGTGCTGGGTGGGCAGAAGCCAGGCCTCCCACTTACCTGAACCTGACAAACTTTTCAGCCCTGCAGTGTCCCCCTCACAGCCACTACAGTCTGTGTGTGAACCCCTGCCCAGCGCCCTGTCTGGGGGTCCAGGAGGTGGTGCAGCTGCCCACCCCCTGTGCCGAGGGCTGCGAGTGTGATGAAGGATTCTTCCCTGCGGGGGGTGACTGTGTCCCCATGGACTATTGTTCTTGCTTCTACAATGGCCAGTACTTTCCGGTGAGCATCCCCACAGCTGGGAGGGAGTGGGGCTCGCTCGGAGCTCTGCTCTTGGCACCCCTTGCATACCTGTCCTCTTCACCATCACCAACCCCCCCAACTTCCCTTCTCTCCACAGCCAGGCCAGACCATCCTTAGCCACAACTGCTCCTCCTCCTGCTCCTGCCGGCCACTGGGCGGTGTGAGCTGCGTCCCCTTCAGCTGCCCTCCAGGGACGGTCTGTGGCATTGCAGATGGAGTCCTGGGCTGTCGGGCATCAGGTGATGGGGCTGTGGTCTTTGGGATCAGAAATAAGGGCATGCCCTTATGAGTCCTAGTATCATGGGGAAGGGTAACCGGGTGTCTAGGACTCATAAGGGCATGCCCTTATTCCTGTCCTCTCTCTCCTCTACAGCCACCTTGGTCCCTGTCCTGAGCCCTGTGACTCCAACACGTTTTGTCCCCCCTCTGCTCCCCACTCCTCGTTCCCAGTGCCCTGCCAACTCCCACTTTGTCCCATGTGGCTCTATGTGCCCTGCCACCTGTGCCCACCCCTCAGCCCCAGAGCACTGTGGGCAGCCCTGTGCCCCTGTCTGCCAGTGCCTACCAGGGTTCCTGCTGCTGGAGGACCGCTGTGTGCCCCCTGCCCACTGCCTCTGCCTCCAGCACCACCACCACACTTTCTGGACCGCCAACTGCACCCAACGCTGCCGCTGCCTTGCCCTGGAGAGCCAGGTGGTCCAGTGCCAGCCCGACACGTGTTCTGGTCACTGCAAGGCCTCTGCAGATGGCTGGGAGCGCTGCCTGCTAGGCCAGTCCCTGCCCGGTGGCACAGGCCCAGAGGAGCCGTTGATCTGTACTGTGGCTGGCGACTTCCACTTCCACACCTTCGGAGGCGCCCACTACGAATTCTCGGGCTCCTGCGTCTACCGCCTGGTGGGACTCTGCGGCTCACACCCTGCCGGGCTGGAGTCCTTCAGTCTGGATGTGGCCCCGCTTCTGCAGCCACACAGCTGCCCCAAGGCTCTGACCCTCTCGGCCTGTGGCCTCAGGGTGGACATGAATCCGAAAGACCCCAACCACATCCGGGTAAGGCCTGCCAGGCCCCACACCCGCCCGCTGCCCTCATCGGTCCCCCTTACTGAGAGGAAACTGGGGGTGGTCCCCCCTTTTCCTGCAGGTACCCTTCTCCTCCCATTGCTCAAGGGCATGAATTCTAATTTCCCAGGGGGCCCGTCAACCCTGTCCTGCCTGCTGTCCTCCCTCCTGACAAGCCAGCTGGCCCTTCAAAACGAGGCACCCGTAACTTCCCTGAGTTAACACTGTTACCCTCCATAAGCTCCCCACCAACTCCCCTATAAATCCACAGGTTCATCATTCACCCTCCCTTGCGCGCCCTCACCTCCACTGCATGTCTCTCCCTTCCACTATTACACAACACAGACTTGCCGCTAGACCTGTTATCGCCCTGTGGGGAGCAGGCCCGCCTTGCCACACTGCTTTGTGCTTCCCCAGATACTGACTTTCTGACTTTCCCAGGGGTGCCCCCATAGACAACCTCCCACATCTCCCCACAAATCTGCCACCTGCCCCTTCTTCACGCTGCTGGAGATAGTGTCTCCTCTGGTGAATTCTTGGGTCTCTCTGACCCATTTTCTCACCTTCTCAGTGTTCTGATAATTCATGGATTTCTGAGCCCACTCCACTCACCTATCTTGCCCCCTCACTGCCCCCCACAGGAGCCCATGGGGACCTTGATCCCCACTGACCCATGAACTTGTTCCGTATTTCCTCCGTTTATCTTCTTCTTGAACTTCCGGTTCATGCCTGACCCCTCCCCACCAATGCCCTAATTATTCTTTTTACTCAGCTGGCCCAGTGACCCCCTCATTAACGGACTCTTCATTCCTCTGCCATTGATCATCTGTACCATTGGGTACTGACCCAGCTGAGGTCCCACTGGATTCTCAAAAGACCCCTCATGACTCCCTCCCTCTAACAACCACCCACATGCTCTGGTCCTTTGTGGCATTTCCGATCGCCTCCGCCTCCCTGTAGGTTAACGGGATTCTGGAATCGTTGCCTTTCTCTCACGGGAGTTGTCTTCATGCCTACCTCCGAGGCTACCAGCTCTGCATAGAGACCACCTTCGGACTCCTGCTGACCTACGATTGGCATGGCTTGGTGCGGGTAACACTGCCAAGGTCCTACGGCCCCTACTTGTGTGGACTCTGCGGCACAAGTGGCCCCACCGCGCCAGAGCCCGATGCCTGGAAGGTGGCCGAGGTGCCAGGCTGTGGCCCCAACTGCGGGCCCCTCTGCCCTAGTCCCTGCCCTGTGGCTGCCCGCCAGCCATTCTCCGGGGACCGGTACTGCGGATTGCTGACCTCCGCCCAGGGTCCCCTGGAGCCCTGCCATGCAGCGCTGGACCCGCAGCCCTTCCTCAGCGACTGCTTGGTGGACACGTGCCGTCGCCGCGGGGCCCAGGGCACCGTCTGCAGAGCTCTGGCCGCCTACACCACCGCCTGCCAGGCTCTGGGTGTTCGCCTGTGGCCCTGGAGGACGCCTGACTTCTGCCGTGAGTGTGCGGGACTGTGCAGAGGGAGAGGGAGGAGCCCAAGGAGCCTCGATTGGGCGGGGAAGATCAGGAAGAGGCTGGGTTGCAAAAAGTGGCCAGATCAGGATAAGTGAATTCAACTAACACGGCTTTTTGTGTTTTGTGCCTGTCCCTGTCTCTCCCATGCCCTTCCTATTCTTATTTCTCTCTCCCTCCCTCCTCGCGTTTCTTCCCACTGCCCCCCTCCCTGTCCCATCTCCATCTCCATCTGTCCTCGGTCTCTGTCCCTCTCACATACCCGCTTCTGGGTCTCTCGCTCTTCCACCCCCGGGTCTCCCCTCCCCCCATCACTCCATCTCCGTCCCTCTGTCTCCGCGCCACCACAGCCTTGCAGTGTCCGCCGCACTCGCAGTACGAGCTGTGCGGCCCGTGCTGTCCCGCCACGTGCGCGGGCAGCGCGGGCTGCGAAGCCCCCGGAGCCCCCGGAGGCCGCTGCTGCGAGGGCTGCGTGTGCCAGGCGGGTTTCGTGCTGAGCGGTGGCCTCTGCGTGCCCGCGGCGCAGTGCGGCTGCCTCCGCGCCGGCCGCTACCGACCCCGGGGCGCCGTCTGGTACCCCGGGCCCGGCTGCGCGCGCCGCTGCCGCTGCGGACCGGCCGGCGTGGTGACGTGCGCGCCGCAGCCGTGCGCGCGCGGCCAGGTGTGCGGCCTCCGCGGGGGCGTGCGCCGCTGCCTGCCGAACAGCCGCGCCTACTGCGCGCTCGCCGGGTCCGTGCACGTGCTCGACTTTGACGGCCACGCCCGCGCACTGCCTCTGCCCGCGCCCTTCTCTCCCAAGCGCTGCCTGGACGTGCTGGCCCGCACCACACGCCCCGGAGCCTGGCCCTTCAGCCTCGACGTGGCCCGAGATGGCACCGGGCCGCTCAGCCTGCACTTCAGCCTCGCCGGCCGCCGCCTGCAGCTGGACCGCCACGCGGTTGGGGTCATCATGGTGAGTGCTGGTGGAATGTACACGGACCTGCCACCTTCCGGATGCACCTCCATTCCCCCTGTATGGAAGATGAGTGCATCGGCCCCTCAGAGTTTACGAGATGGTACACGAGGCTGAAGAGAACTTAATGGGCTAGGGAGCATGTTTTTTTTTTTTCTTTTTGGGTCACTCCTGGTGATGCACAGGGGTTAACTCCTGGCTCTGCACTCAGGAATTACTCCTGGAGGTGCTCAAGGGACCATATGCGGATGCTGGGAATTGAATCCAGGTCAGCCGCGTGCAAGTCGAACACCCTACCCGCTGTGCTGTCACTCCAGCCCCCCAAATTCAATTCTTGGGCACCACATTGTCCCTCAAGCACCCCCAGATGTAGGAACCTTCATATATACATATGTTAGGGGGCCACAGTTGGCGATGCACAGTGGTTACTCCTGTCTCTGCACTCAGAAATCACTCCTGACAGTGCTTAGTAGATCATATGGGATATAAAGGATTGAACTTGGTGCACAGTGGTTACTCCTGTCTCTGCACTCAGAAATCACTCCTGACAGTGCTTAGTGGATCATATGGGATATGATACATACATGCTTTGGCCATGGTCACAGCGAAATGATCCCCCTGGTACAGGTCTTGAATCTGGTGGTGCCAGAAGTTACCAGTATGTGCCAGGTGGTGCCAACCTGTGTGCATCGATAAAAGCCTGTGCCAGTCAATGCCAGTCAGTAGTACCCTATGCCAGGTGGTGCCTACCTGTGCTTATTTGCATAAACATGTGCCATTCTGTACCAACTTCAATCAGTGGGTAAAATCCTGTGAAAGTTGGTGTCAGTATTTGCCCATCTCTGTAAAGCAGTGCCACTCCGTGCCAAATGGTGCCAAGCAGTGCCATCTGCACAAGGTGGTGCCAACCTGTGCTAGGTCACTTTGTCAGAAAATGGCAAGCTGTGCCAGGCAGTGCCTATCTGTGTCACCATGTGCCAGTCTTGTTGCTCTGTGCCTATCTATGCTAGACTGTCCAGCTGTGCCAGTATTGCAAACCTGAGTCAGATTTTCCACCAGGTGCCAGGTGGTACCCACCTCAGCCAGTCTGTCTTGTCAATGTGTGCTAGTCTATGTAATCTGTGTCTAGGTGTGCCAGGCTTGTCATGGTATGCCATCTCATGCCAACATTGCCAGTCTATGCCAATCAGTGTCAATGTGTAGTAGTTTATGCCAACCTAGTGCTGGCCTGTGTCAAGGTTGTGCAAATCATTGTCAATGTGTGCCTATGTGTCAGTCTGTTCCTGTGTGTGCCAGCCTTGTTAGTTATGCCACAGTATGCCAGTCTTACCAAGGTGTGTCAGCATGTGCTAGTCTCTGCCAACAACTCTTTCCAGCTCATGCCAAGATATGCCAGTTTTTACCAAGGCATGCCAACCTATGCCAGCTGGTGCCAAGTTATGTCAAACCATGCCAAGGTGTCATTTTGTGCCATTGTTGCCCATATGTGCTAACTTGTGCACAGATGTGCCAGTCCTGCATAGGCATGCCAATCCATGTCAAAGTGTGTCTGTCAATGCCAAAGTGTACCTTTCTTGCCGGTATGTGCCATGACATCTGACAGCCAGTGCCAAGGTGTACCCATATAGGCAAAGGTGTGCCAATCCATTCTAATATGTGCCATTCTATACCAGAGTGTGCAAACAGATGCCATGGTATGTCAGTTTGTGCTGGCCCATGCTAATATATGCTAGTTCATGTAAAGATGTGCCACTTTGCCCCAGGGCTTGCCATTCCATACCGGTCTGAGGAAACTGAAGGCCTAGAGGATCCCTGGGAATTATTTAGTACTGATGTGCTTGGTACTCCTCTGAGCAATTTTTTGGGAGTGAGGGAAATTAGTCCACTCCTGGCAGTGTCCAGGGGCACTTCCTAGCTCTGCTCAGGAGTGACCCCTGGTGGTACACTACTGGAGCTCGAACTGAGTTTGCAGCATGCACGCGCATTACCTCTTCTGAGCACTTTCTGTGCATACTCACATTTAATTATTGCAAAAGCTGCGTCAGTCAGCTAGTGTTGAGCAAACACCTCCAAGCCATGGTGACTAACCCCAATCAGCTTTCTCATTCCCATGCTGTAAGCTGGTTGGGGCTCAGGTCATAAAGCCCTCACCGTATGCCAAGTGCTGTTCTTTGTTTTTCTTGGTGACTGCATTTCTCTCTCCAGAGTGCTCCATGAGGACCTCTTAGCTTCCCAGTTCATGGCTGCAGAATCAGAGTGTTCAGAGTGTTCAGGCCTCTTCCCCATGTTTTACGGTTCATCGTGCCACAACTTGTGGAGGCATGACCAGGTGGCTGGGAGGTGTGGAAGTAGTTTGGGCCTTCTCAGCCCCAGCCCTGACCCCTTTCCTCGCCTTTCCACAGGTGGACGGGGAGCGCTGGAGGCTGCCCTGGGCCCTGCCTGGGGGCCAGGTCTGGGCCACCCTGGAGGGCCGCCATGTGGTGGTGCACGCAGCCTGTGGCCTGCGGCTCCTGTATGACTGGGGGGAGCACGTGCGCCTCAGTGTACCTTCCACCTTCCATGGCCGCCTGGCAGGGCTCTGTGGGGCCTTTGGTGATGACGAGGACCCCCTCGGGCTGCCTTTGGACACAAAATCCTCGCCCACAGGCCCAGTGGCCACCCCATGTCCCCTGCCCGCAGCTGACCTCGGCTTCAGCATTAACTGCTCTGTGCAGCTTGCCCCACTCTTCAAGGCTCCCAAGCTGTGTGGGATTCTCCAGGCCTCCGATGGCCCCTTTGGCCACTGCTTGGGTCAAGTGGACCCCACACCTTTCTTGAGGATATGCCTGCAGGAAGAATGTCACTCCCAGGACGGAAGCCTGGAACTCTGTAAGATCCTCACTGCCTACACTGCAGCCTGCCAGGAGGCCGGGATCCCCGTCTTGCCCTGGAGGGGCCCCAACCTTTGCCGTGAGTGCTCTGCCTGGGTGTGGACATGCATGTGGGGCCAGCTGATGCCCCATCTCCTGGAGGGAGTCAAAGAAGTCCAGGCAGATGGTATTGGCCAAGAAGAGCACGTGGACGTATAGTCGCAGGGAAGGGGGAATGTCATCATCAAGGTGATGGCAGGAAATGTGCCAGGGCCGGCAGCCTGGCTGCAGACAGGAGGCAGTGGGAGGGGGAAGGAGACTGAGATGCCTGTGCTGTCTGCCTGCAGCCATGTCTTGCCCACCCCGACGCCGCTACAGTATCTGTGCCCAGACTTGTGCGGGGGGCTGTGTTCTGCCTACCAGCCCTGCTCACTGCGCCACCCTATGCTACGAGGGCTGTGAGTGTGAGCCCGGCCTCGTCTTTGATGGCACCGACTGCATATCCCGAAACCACTGCGGCTGTTTGCACAATGGACACTACGTGCCAGTGAGAGAGCCCGCGGGCACGGGTGGGAGGGCACAGCCCCATCACTCATCTTCAAATGTTCTCTGGGGCAGGGGGTGTACCATGGTGGAAGGGTGCTTGCTTTGCTCTGTAGCACTGTCCTCCTGCTGTTCATCAGTTTGCTTGAGCAGGCACCAGTAACATCTCCATTGTGAGACTTGTTACTGTTTTTGGCATATTGGATATGCCACGGGGAGCTTGCCAGGCTCTGCCATGCACCAGGAAAAAAATCATTTAACTTCCCATCAGCTCCGCATTACTGGGTAACCCCATGTAGCTGTTGTTATGACCCACTGTTTAGATGCTAGGTTGTAAAGTTGATGGGGCAGGAGATAGCTCATAGACTAAAGTGGGGGGGTTAAGTCCTTAAAAGGCAAACTTGGGGGCTTGAGTGATACCATATTGAGTAGGGTGTTTGCCTTGCATGCGGCCAACTTGGATTCGATTCCCAGCATCCCATATGGTTCTCCAAGCACTGTCAGGAGTAATTCCTGAGTGCATAAGCCAGGAGTAACCCCTGTGCATTGCCAGGTGTGACCCAACAAGCAAAAAACAACAATAACCAAAAAGGCAAACTGAAGGGAATTGATATGGGGGCCAGGGCAGTAATACAGCGGGAAGGGAGGGCACTTGCTTTGCATGCAGAAGACCCAAGTTCCATCTCCAGGCACCCCATATGGTTCCCCAAGCCTGCCAGTAGTGACTCCTGAATGCAGTGTCAAGAGTAAGCCCCGAGCACCACTGGGTGTGGCCTGGAAATCAAAACAGCTACAACAACAACAAAAATCCAGAAAGCCATGGATGAGCCCCGGGCAGGCATACTGTCCCCTTCTAGGTGGCCACCCCCTCTGACCCCTGCCATAGGCTGGGTGACTTAGTTGTTCTATAGATCAGAAGGCCACTTGATAGGAAACACATGGATGTTTAACGCTCCAAGCAGCCCCAGATATGAAGAGATGCCTTGTGATGACAGAGGCAAATGCGCAGCTTCCTCCACAGTGCAGTTGCATTGTGTGCAGGTGTACGTGCTTGCCCACATCCAGGACCTCAGGGAGCTCTGGGTATTGGCCCACACCAATGGAAAGGGGAGAGATTGTTCAGGGTTCTCAGAGATTAATGCCTAACAGGCGAATGCAGCAAGTTAAGGTTGATGGGCTCTGGGCCAAAAGAGACCTGTTAGAGGCTAGGGAGATGGGTTCAATCCATAGCACCACGTGGTCCCCCAACACCAAGCTGGGAGTATTCTCGCTAGGTGTGGCCCCCAAACAAAACTAAATTTAAAAAGACAGTTATAGACAACTGGAGAGATAGGGCAGTGGGTAGGGCGTGGCCGACCCAGGTTCAATTCCCTGCACCCTGTATGGTCCCTTCAGCACTAACAGGAGTGATCCCTGAGCGCAGAGCCAGGAGTAGGCCCTGAGAACTGTCAGGTGTGCCCCTCACTAAGATATTCTGAAACACTTCGAGGAACCTAGCCAATTTTGTTTATTTTTGCAGATTTTAGTTTTGCCCAACTCAGGTGAAAAAATCACTGTGGATTGCCCGTTGTTTCTGTGTCACTAGGGGAATCCACATCTTTTGGGCTCTCTGCCAGGGCGTCCCCTGCAGCAGTTCTCAGGGACCGTGCAATGCTGGGGCTCCAACCCGCATTAACCACATGCCAGGCAGGTGCCTTCACCTCTGCCCAGTCTCCTCATCCTGAGCATTGTTTTTAACGCCTAGGAAACATTCATGTTTTCCTTGAACTTTATAGCCTTTGCACCTTTTTAAAATAGGATTTCAGTCATTTGTTTTTCATTTCTAAGAGAATTTTGTAGATTGTAGAGTTTAGTTCTCTGTGATTTGTGTTATACCTGGGCTTCATTGTTTGTTAATATTCAGTGTTTTGAGGTTTGAGTTTGGTTTGGTTTGGTGGGAGGGGGCACATCTGGCAGTGATTAGGGCTTACTCCTGGTTCTGCATTCAGGGATCTCTACTGGCAGGCTTGGGGAACTGCATGGGGTGCCAGGGATCAAACCCAGGTTGGCCTGTTGCAAGGCAAGTGCCCTGCCTGCTGTACTATCTTTCAGGGCCATCATAATTTTTTTTTAGCCTAGTTTAAGGTGTGTCTGTCTCTCTGCAGGTTGGGGAGGCACTGATCCTGCCAGGCTGTCGGGAGCGCTGTGTGTGTGCACAGGGCCACGGTCTCCAGTGCCAGCCCTTTGCCTGCTCACAGGGCACAGACTGCATCCTGGAGGGAGGTGCTTGGTGCTGTGAAGCTGGGGGCGGGGCCACGTGTCACCTGGTGCCCGGGGGCCTCTTCACCACCTTTGATGGCTTCAGTGGGCTGGCACCCGCGCCTGTGACACCCTGTGCCTATGAACTAGCCTCCCTGATGGGCTCCGGACCCCAAGATCCTGACTGGTTCCATGTCATTGCTGACTTTCCACCCTGTCCTGGGTGCCCTACTTCCCAACCGCGGGTGATCATCAGCTTCAGGGATGGCTGTGCGGCTGTGGGACCCAATAGAGAAGTCTGGGTAAGAGACCCTCCTCCACCCCAGCCAAGACCCCCTGTGTAACATGGTCATAGTTCCGGACTCCTCCGGCCCACCAAGGCCTCTTCCCATGATTCTGATCTCTCACTAACCTCCACCACTGAAATGTCCTTGTTTTCCTGGCCTCTGACTCCCCCACAAACTTTAGCTTGGACTCCTAGGACACACCTCATTTTAGCCTAAGCCTTACTAAAAGCCTGGGAACAACTAAGGGTTGGAATGGAGCCTTAACCATAAGCCAGAAGGGCTCAAGCAACTTGGGGCTCTCAGGCTGTCTGGGGGTGGGGGGTGGCCTTTAGGGAATGAGTGGAGACTTCCCAAAAATAGCAGATGTAAGTACATGCCTTGCTCACAGCCGACCGGGGTTTGATCCCTGGCATCTCATATACCATAATAAATCCCTGAGCATAACCAGGTGTGGCCCAAAAACCAAAAAAAAAAAAAAAAAGCGTCTTCTGTCCTTCTGTGCCAGTTCCTATTTCAATTCTCCTGCTTCCTTTATTTTTTTTGGGGGGGGGTGGCCTGTACCCAGTTTTGTTCAGGGGTTACTCATAGTTCTAACTTAAAATTATTCCTGGCTATGCTCAGGGGGCTATATGGGATTCCAGGGATCAAATCCGGGTTGGCCCCATGCAAGGCAAATGCCCTATTTGCTGTACTATTGCTCTGTCCCCGCAGATTTTTTTTTCCATAAGCAAAAACCAACCTGAAACCTTGCACAGGGAAAGAAGCTGGTTATGTGGTTGGAGGCTAATAATAAAAGTGGGGATGGGGTAACAGGTGCAACCTGGCAGGTAAGTCAGAGCCTTTGCTGAAAAGATCAAGAGATCCTAACAGTGAGCTGTAGAGAGTTCAGTGCTTCGGACACTTGCCTTGCACACAAATGACCTGGGTTTGATTCCCAGCACCACATATGGTTCCCACAATCATCACTAGGAGTGATTCCTAAGTGCAGAGCCAGGAGTAAGCCCGGAGTACAGCCAGTGTGGCCTCAGGGAGCTGGAGAAAGAGATCCCCAATTGTCTTCTCAGCTTCTGGCAAGCAACTCAACTTCTCTATGGCTCAGTTTGTTCAGCTTAAAAGAAAAATAGTAACAATAGTATCACCATTTCGGGTGGCTGTGAGACACCTGTAAAGTGCTTGACACATGCTAACTGCTCAGTGTAAGCTGTGACTACTCTTGCAGCTCCTTTTTGATATTAGAGAGGCAATATGTATCACAATGTTTAACATCTGGGTCCTGGGCTAGATAGTAATACAGAGTAGAGCTGAAGGCCTTGATGTGTGGCTGACCTGGTTTGATACCCCACCCCTCCCCACCAACTCATGTTCCTGTAGCACTGCCAGGAGTGACCCCTGAGCATAGAGCTAGGAATTGCCCTGAGCACTCTTGGGTGTGGCCCAGCTCTAGTGACCCTGCCAAGGGAAAAAAACATTCAGTCTTTAAATCACATCTCCTGGATTCAAACTTTCGCCCTACAATGTGAACCTGGACTGCCTGTCGCTTGTGGGGTCCTCAGCATCCTAGTCAGGAAGAAGCAAGAGGGAAACTGTTCTGTAGATCAGCCTTACCAGTGTTGGTGAGGATTCGATAGCAACTATCAATAAACCACCACAAGAAGTACTCAAGAGCTGATTTTAACGTATATTTAAAATAAATGTGTTTACATAAAATATTAGGCAGTAATTATGAAAATATCAATATGTGAGAGTACCTCATCTTGTACTGACATGCTTGTAAAATAAATATTAAGGCTCTTTAAATGGTGCCTGGTACAGATGTGGGCAGTTATGAGGATAAAGAGAGACAACAGATTCCAAAGAAACATTTTCCCCCCAAGAAATGATAGTGTTCTGAAACCCCATCGCAGAATTCTCCCGCTGTTAATGACATTCTTCATGTGCCAGAGTCACACCCAGACTTCTTCCTCCAGCAAAGAGCCAGAGAAACGTTTCCGACAGTGCCAACATGGCTCGGCAGGACTGACAGTGGCCCCCCTCTCCCGCAGGTGAATGGTCGCCGCGCACGCCTCCCGGCCCAGGTGTGCAGGGGCGTGGTGGCTCGCCAGGCGGAAGGCTCCGGGGTGATCATCGAGCGTTCCCCCATGTTGCGGATGTTGGTGGGGCCGCACGGGGCTGTGGCCCTGCGCGCCTCTTCTGCACTCCGAGGGCGTCTCCGGGCCGCATGTGGGGACTACAATGGAATTGCAGCCGACGACCTGGTACTTCTTCCGAGAGGACTCCGGGGTGCCAGCCTAGGAGACGCGTTCCAGGGGTGCCTGACGCGGAGCCTCAGCAGCTGGTGAGGAGCCCCCCTCCTACCCCGGGACCTCCACTCTTTAGGCGCCACCAGCCCAACTCCCCGCCTTTTGAGGGCACGAAGCCCCCACTCTCACTGCTTCTTCCCACAGCACTGAGCAGCTGCCGGCCGGGCCCCCACCGTTCGCCGCGTGACCCCATCTCTCTAGGCGTCCCCAAGTACACCTGCCCCGACGGTGAGATTGCAAGGACCGTCCTGAGACTACCTTAATAGATAAGACACCTCTCATCCCCCCGCCAAAAAAGTGCTTGTGAATTTCTTCTCTGCCAGTGTCCCCGTGACCCACGATTCGGGAATCGGCTCGAGTTCCCGAGTCCCCTTCCAGCCCCAAACCTTGGTCCAAATCCCTCCTCTGCGCTCGGGAAGTTCCCGTCCGTTCAAGGACAGAGAATCCCGCGAGGTGGCCAGAAGCTCCACCCCCTATCCGCACTATTATGACGCAACGGCAGAGGCAGCCAATAGGGAGCGGCGGCACCGGGAGGCGGGGGCGGAGCTTGGGAGCGCGCCGGGCGGAAGTGTCGGCAGGCTCCGCTGTGCGACCTAGGGGCTCTCGGGGAAGTGCGGCCAGCTCCGGCGCGACCCTGCTGCTACCATGAGCCGGCATAGCCGGCTGCAGAGGCAAGTCCTGAGCCTGTACCGCGAGTTACTGCGGGCCGGGCGCGGGAAGCCAGGCGCCGAGGCGCGGGTGCGAGCCGAGTTCCGGCAAAACGCCAGCCTGCCACGCTCCGACGTGCTGCGCATCGAGTACCTGTACCGCCGCGGGCGGCGCCAACTGCAGTTGCTGCGCGAGGGCCACGCCACGGCCATGGGCGCCTTCGTACGCTTGCAGGATCCCTCGAAGGAGCAAGACGATGGGGAGCGTACGAGGAGCCTGGGCCCTCCGAAAACCCAGGCCGATGGACGGTGACGGGTAGAAGAGCTCACCTGATGAGCTAGGGGATCTGGGGCTCCACCTGATTGTGGGGGACACTGAGGAGCCCTCTTGATGGAATGAGAGAGGGCTTGAGAGCCGCTCAACAGTCTACGGGAGGTCAGAGAGTGCCCTCCTGCGACCTGGCGTCCCGAGAGACCCCCCCCCCAGCAACAGATGGTCCACATGGCCGGACCCGGGTTGCCTGCAGTGCGAGCCAGGCCGGATGCAGTGGATCAAACGGAGTTTCCCAAAAACTACCTCCTGTGATGGAAAGCCCCTTCTCACCCGAGAACACACCCACCGATTCCTCAAGGAGAAAAACACATACACTCTCCCTCTGCCTGTTTATAATTCGGAGAAGAGCAGAATTTTCTCTCAGGAATTGGGTGAGACTTTGATGGTTCTCAATGAGAAACCCAGAATCCCCCTTTGGAAGCCCTTGCCCCTCGTTTGTAACGGATTAGAACTATGAGGAAGTGGCCAAGGTCTGTATCCCCAACTGATCACCCACCCAGACCTCTGCATGATGGTTGTAAGGGGAAACCTCCACTCCTGTGCTTGTCTTCTCTCAGGACTGTTTGAAGAAAGGAAATAAAATTGTGTATTTCCCAGTTGGTGGTCAAGGATGTGTGTGGTGGGGGATCTTTGAGAAACCCCACTAGAGGGCAGGTTGGTTGAAGGAGTATCTCACCCTGTCCCGATCCCCAGAAGACCCCAGTTGACTCCTAGTGAGGGAGCAGAGAACAGGGGGCCTAGTTGGTTACCCCTGAGGCAGTCACAGGTTTCACAAAACCTTTAAACTTCCCATCATCCTCACCCCTGGCTGAAGAGTCCTGTTTCACTGCAAACTGGGATTTTTGTCAGCAAAATGCATGGGACTGTGGGAGGCAAGATGGACCCAGAGGCCCTGCTCCTAGGGACCTGCCCAACACATTCTCTAGGGTGCTGTCCTGTGTAGCTCTCCTCTTTATTTATACCCACATTGATGAAAAGTGAGAAATGGTTGAGACTTTTGAAGTAGGGGAGAAGTGCACACCTCAGACCAGGGAGAAGATGGATGAAACAAAAACTATCTAGGCCCTAATCCCAACAGAGGAGACAGGTGGCCCAATGGTTGTAAAGTGGGGGTGGGAGCTACAGGGGCTAAGCACATGTTTTGCAGCAGGAGGCCCAGAATGGAAGGCTGGGGTCAGTTGGTCTTCTCTTCACTATGGACGTCCAGTGAAGTCATCTGTGGATGTGCCAAGCCTAGTGTCTGTCTTGACCAGTGGAAAGTCTCTCACTTTGGTTGGGACCTCACTTCCTGACCACCTACCTCAGATGCCCCTGGTTGGTCTTGGATCTTTGCCTCAGGGTCTGGGGAAACCCAAGCCACCAAGGACAGATTCTCTTCTAAGTTCTGTGGAGGGGGCTGTTCAGTCACTTCAGGTCCACAGCCTCATTTCTGAGTGTCCAAGCACCCAGTATCTCAACATAGCCTTCAGCCTTCTCGCGATGGAATACCAGTGTTCCCTCCAAATTCATGGGCATGGCACAAAGAGGGTATATGCAGCTGTGGGAGGTGGTTAGGTCATGAAGGTGAACCCATAACAGAGACCCCAGAGAGCTCCCTTGCCCCTCTGCCATAAGGAGTGGGCCGAGTGTGAAGTGGGAACAGGCTTTCCTCAGATGCATCTGCTCTGGCCTGGATCTTACACTTGGCTGCTATTGGCACTGAGAATTGGCATTTGAAAGAGCAGGAGTGACTAGTTCAGTAATAGTGAGCCTTTATTACATGGCTGCCAGGGCTCAGAGAGGGGGAGGCCCATTGACATAACTGAGCACCAGGTAAGGTGCCCGGGCCAGCCTACTGGGCGAGCAGCAGGGGTCCCCTGTCATGGGCAGCAGCATTGTGGCCCCCACCAGAAGAAGGAAGAGGATGAGGATTAGGAAGATCAGGGGTCGCCTGATTGCAGGAGCCCTACAAAGGGAAACCCGTGTGAAAGGGTGGGAGGGGGATTTTCCCACGCCCCCACCCCCAGACCACCCAGGTATCTCACCCAGGTGCAACCGCCAGCTGCATCTCCTGGAGCCTGGGTGACCGGTGCTGCTTCTTGGTCTTGCATGGGCAGCAGGCGGCAACAACGCAGTAAAGTCACGTGAAGTATGGCCTTGCCCATAGTGCCAAGAACTCTGAGGCACCCCTAAGTATTTCCCCTTTCCTGGTATCCCGGCGACCCCCAGAACTCTGCATGGATTTGCTTGTCTTTACCTGTCCTTCCATCCAGACTCCTTAACCTAGAAATACTGGCTAAACTTAGGGCTTGTCAAGCCTCTCTGCTGCCACTCTTGAGGATCAAGGGCAGCAGACCCCACCTGCCCGCTTCCATGATTGGACAGGTAAGACTTAGCTGGCCAATCAGAGCACTCCATCAGCCACCATCATAGGGGGTGGAGCCACAACCAGAATTAGGCCCTACAGGTATTAACCTGGAACTTGGGCTACACAACTTGGTCCTTGTGGAGTAAACAAGTGCCAAGTGAGTATGTCGCTGTTGGACAGCCCTTTGACTGAGAAGGAAGCCACCTCCACGAAAGGGAGCCCAAGGGAAGGAGGAACTGAGCCCTGACAGGATTTAAGATCTTGAATTCAGAGGAGCCTGAATTTCCACTTTCAGTTTCATGGAAAAACAGCATGCCATTCTGTGCCTAACTCAGTTTGGGTTGAATTTCTATCTCCTGCTGTCAAGATTCCCAAGTAACGGGGTAGAGGTGTGTGGCACAGAGGAAGGAAGCCCTGGGTTCCATCCCCAGCACCTCCCCCCACTCTCCCAGATTCCCAGTGATACATCTAGCTAAGAACCAGCTCACCTGAGTTTTCTGGAGCAGAGAGTGTCTCTGATGTCCAGCTAAGTGTTTCCTATGGTTAAGGCCTGACCTGAGCAGGTCCTATGGGGCAAGAGAGATGTGAGGTCCTTGGAAAAGTGACAGAGACACAAGGTTAGGTAGGGTTCAGGATGAGCTGTGCCACAGAGAAGAGACTGTGAGAAGAGAGATCTCAGGAAGAGACAGAAGAGGGTTAGAGCCAAAGAAATAAAGAGAAACAGGCTTCCCTGTTTGATCCTGAGTGCTGATGTGGGTTTGATCCCCCACACCTCATATACCTCCCTGAGCACTGTCAGAGGTGACCCCAAAGTGCAGAGCCAGGAGTGAGACCTGAGCACTACAAACTGGCCCAAACAACCCACCACACACACACACACACACACACACACACACACACTAATTAAAAACCATTCATTCAACAAATAATGAGTGTCAATTACCTGCAGGGCACTGTTCTTAGAGGCTGGGACAGAAGGGACAGGAGTGAGCAAGTTCATAAATTAACAAGATAGTGGAGAATGTGGAGATGTGGTGAGTTCTGTGGGGAAGTAAAGTAAGACAAGGAGTGACAATGTTTGGAGGCCAGGACACATGAACAAAACAAAGACGGATGAAGGAAGTTTGGGGTGGGGGAGGGGCGGGATAGAGAGGTGCTGGGCATGCATCTGGGAGCTCCAAGCTCCAAGAAGGGTATGACTCAGAGGATCTGAAGAACGGCCATAGAGATAACTCCAGGGTTAAGGCGCTTGCCCTGCCTGCACGCAGCCAACCCCGGTTCGATTCTCAGCACCCCATATGGTCCCCTGAACACAGCCAGGAATGATCCCTGAACACAGAACCCAGGAATAAGCCCTGAGCACTGCTGGGTACTGTCCTGTACTGTCCTCCCATCGTTCATCGATTTACTCGAGTGGACCCCATAACATCTCCATTGTGAGACTTATTGTTACTGTGTTTGACATATTGAATATGTCTCTGGTAGCTTGTCAGGCTTTGCTGTGCAGGCGAGATACTCTTGGTAGTTTGCTGGGCTCTCCGAGAGGGTCGGAGGAATCGAACCCGGGTCGGCTGAGTCAGCCGCGTGCAAGGCAAACACCCTACCCATTGTGCTATTGCTTCAGCCCAAGCACTGTTGGGTATGGCCCCCAAACAACAAAAAGAAGCAGGTCTAAAGGGACAGAAGGCTGGTATGGCTGTAGTGGGAGAGGACGAGAGAAGAAAGGCAGGCATAGGTGAGAGAAAACAGGACAAGACACAGGGCAACAGAGTGCAGAGAAGAGATCCCGAGAGAGGAGGGAGACAGGCAGCTCTCCCAGAAGGGAAGGGACCCCTGCATTCCTATGGGTACAGGGTGCGAGGAGGCTCCAGCAGCTCTCACCTCAAGGCCTTGGCCCCTGCTCTGGAGTCGCCTATAACCACACAGCTCACAGGGAGCCCCAGGGGTCCAGGCCATTTTTCGTCCGAGAGGCCTGACACCGCCTATGTCCCCCGCAGGGTCCCACTCCAGCTCTGCAGGACTGGGGAGGCTACTGGGCGCCCAGGGGCCCCAGATGCCCCCCACTCCTGGCCCGTCCGAGTCCCCCTCCACCTCCAAGTCTTGGTCCAGTGTGTCGGCCTCCTCGAATACCTACTTAGAGGACAAAAGTCAGGGGACATGTGGGCGGTTACCCCTGGGGTACCCATGTGGGGATCTGGCTGGGGACCTCCAGGGCAGGCCATACCAGGCTGGAGCTGACCAGCTGGGCCTGCAGTTGCCACAGCCGCCAGAAGATGCTGTCCCGGTGGGCTCCCAGGGTCCTCACGACCTTCTCCAGGGAGGCCAGGGCCTGCGGCTCACTCCGCTGTGCCAGCCCTTCACCAAATGCCACCAGGGCATCTACACGCTCTGCTGCACCATGCAGGTCTGCCTGTAGGGCCTGGAGACACATGGATGGAGGCTACACACATACACACAGAGGTATGAGCCGGGGGTACCAGAGTCCCAGGACTTGGAGATACAGCCTCCCCCATTTCTTTTCCAGACACCTGGAACATGGAATAAACTCATTTCCCACCTGATGCCCATCCATCTCCCACATCTCAGTCCCGCACTGCCCACCTGCAGTTGGACGATCCTGCTCTGGGCCGATGCCCAGGGCCCCAGGTCATACTCCAGGTCCTGCAGCTGGAGGCCTGGCCCCAACAGACAAAGGTGCAGATTGTCCTGCTCAGACTCTACTACCTCGCTGCCAGAGACAGGGTGCTGGGGACAAAGGAGGCTGAGTCAAGACCTGTGGGTCAACCCAGACATTGTCCCCATTTCTGTTGCCACCCCTCTTCTGTAGGCAGGCGCTAGTCTTTGGGGGTGTTTCTCCCACCAGAGTTCATCTCTAGTCTGTGCCAGAAAAGACAAACTCCCCTCAGATTCCTTCCAGCTGGAGTCAGGCCTTGAGATCTTAAGTTCCAAATGTCCAGGCCTTCAGGGCTCCCAGAGACTGGGACATGTGGGGATCTGGACAGGAAGAAAAGTTGGTGCCCAATACCCCAACAAGAAATTGGGGTATTGAGGGGCTGGAGCAATAGCACAGTGGGTAAGGCATTTGCCTTGCTCACGACCAACCCAGGTTCGATTCCCAGCATCCCATATGGTCCTCTGAGCACTGCCAGGAGTAATTCCTGAGTGCATGAGCCAGGAGTAACCCCTGTACATTGCCGGGTGTGACCCCCCAAAAAAATAATTGGGGTATTGAGCCTTTGGTAGAAAATAGGCCTTTGATGGAATATAGGCTTTTGATGGAATAATTCTTGGTGGTAAAACACTGATGGGGACTGGAGAGGTAGGACGGGGGTTAAGACACTTGCACTGCCAAAGAAAATGGAGTTAAAAAAAAAAAGACACTTGCTTTGCATGTGGCTGACCCAGGTTCAATCCCCAGCACCTCCTATAGTTCCCAGAACACTGCCAGGAGTGCAGAGTCAGAGCACAGCTGTGTGTGATACCAAAACAAACCAAAAATACTGACAAACTCAGTGACTGTCTCCCACACCTTCACCCCACGCTGCCTATAGAACTAAAGGCTGAGGGGCCAGATAAATAGTACAAGGGGTAAGGTACTTGCCTTGCATGCAGCCAACCCAGGATCCCCGGCATCCCATATGGTCCCCCAAGTACCCCCAGGAGTTTTCCCTAAGTGCAGAGCCAGGAGTAATCCCTGAACACCAGCGGATGTTCAAAATAAAAGAAAACAAAAAACAAACAGAAAGAACTGAAGGCTTGCTCGGAACCTCATCTCATGCCTGGTGTGGAAGTCAGGTTCAAGGGGACAGAGAAAAGGTGGGAGATGCACAGGGAACTGGGTTGCCACAGCTCACCTCATGGTGCTTGCCCCCAACTCGGTCCTCATGGGAAGAAGGCGCTGGCAATGCTGGGGACTCAGCCACAGGGTCGGTGCCCCGCAGCCTGCCAAGGAAGCGCTCTGGAGGGTCTGAGGAATCCGGGGCCTGTTCTGGTCTAAGGCATTGACAGGCCCCTGCATGAGAGAGGACCTCAGCCCGCCCGCACCTCAGCCCATGTACCCTGTGTACCCCCCCTCCCCGCAAAGGATCACTGCGTTATCCCTCACCCCCACCCTTTTAGGACCCAACATTCAGAAATGCCAGCCCCTACCTGATAGCCGCCATTTCCACTCCCCTAGGCTCTCCAGGGGGGTGGCTGAGGGTCTCTGAAGAGGGTCTAGGGCTCAGTAGTGGGGACAGGGACATTGCTGGAGGTCTAGGGACAGACCAGTGAGGAATCCCAGTGGCAGCGCCCTTTTCCTAGCTGGGGAGAATCCAGCCAGAAGTCCACTGAGGCCTGAGGCAGCCAATGGCTTAGGAGCTGCCTGGCTGGCCACCTCCCCCGGAACCTGACCCAGGTAACCTGATGCCTTGCCCAGATGCCATTTAAGCACTGCTTAACTCTTTCCTCCCTGGGAGGCTAGTGGCTGAACCTCTCAAACTGAGCACACCCCTCATATAACTCTACTACTCAAGACCCCTGGATTCTGCGCTATGCATTCAGTGACCCTCACATCTGCTGTGAGGACCCTCAAATCTTCCAGCTGCAGCACCCCTCAGGAACCCAAGTGTTACAGGCAGAAAGAGGGGAGCCTGGAAATGTATATTGAGTGAAAAACAATGTCTGGAACCTAAACCAGCCCAAAGGTATGAAGGCCTCTAAGCCAAGGGACCATCTAAGTCCAGTAAACTCAGAGCCGCACCTGCAGAACTCCCAGTCCAGAGCGGCTGGACCGCCACACTCTGGAACAAAGGTCAAGCTGTAGCACAGTAACACTGTCCTCCTGTTGTTCATCGATTTGCTCCAGCAGGCACCAGTAACATCTCCATTGTGATACTTGTTACTGTTTTTGGCATATTGATTACACCACAGGGAGTTTGCCAGGCTTTGCTGTGCTGGTAGGATACTGGGCAGGATACTCTCTGTAGCTTGCCGGGCTCTCTGAGAGGGGTGGAGGAATCGAACCTGGGTTGGCTGCTTGCGTGCAAGGTAAATGCCCTACCATCCTACCTGCTGTGCTATTGTTCCAGCCCAAGGTCAAGCCAAGAATATCAAAAGACCATCAACAACTCCAAGCTCTCCCTGTTGACAACCTCCTTAGTGACAGACTTTGGGGGCACTTTGGTTTAACTGCATATAAACTAATTTGGCAGAAGAAAAGGCACCTATTTGTCACAAGTCCCTCTGAGATAATGTAATTTTTCACACTATGATGCATTTCCTCATGTCTCTGAATTGACTATTTCCTTACTTTAGGGTGCATTTCCCCATTCTGCAAAGAATGGCCCACATCTCCCCTTGGGATGTGGACTTTGATGTTTTCCTTCTCCACCACCCTCCCTCATTTCCTAGATAATACTTCACTATTTATGTCCTCCAGAAACTCTTTTCTGTGAGGGAGGGGCAACAGACCTGGAGAGCCTGGGTAAGATTGGGGATGGACTCGTTTTTCCTCTAACAAGCAGTTCCTCACTCCAGCCTAGGTTCCATAACTCCCAGAGAAATCTCCCACGTTGGGCAGAGCAAGTGGAACCCAGGTGCCAGTGGGGCTGCTGAGACATGAGGTCTGTGCAGTACAGGGGCTCAGAGGAGGCAGATCTCAGGCCTAGATTCCCCAGGCACTTTCCAGGATTACCTAGATTGGTAGGGAGGGAGCAAGACTCCAGCTTGGGACAGTACCTCTCTCCTCCCCACTTTATATCAGTCACCAGGTAAAGGGGAGGTCCCTATGTCCTTCTTGGGTGGGCCCCTTCTCTCCCATGCCAACAGAAGCATCTGGCCTGCCACCTCAAACTCCAAAGCTAGAACGCTGGGCCAGAGTGATGGTACAATGAATGGGTTGGGCGTTTGCCTTGAATGTGGCCCACCAGGGTTCAATCCCCAGCATCCCATATGATTTCCCAAGTACTGCCAGGAGTGATTCCTGAGTGCAGAACCAGGAGTAAGCCCTGAGCATCACCGGTTGTGACCCAAAAAGAAAAAAAACAACAAAACTTCTTTCCTGAGTGCAAAACTAGAGTGCTTTTTGTTGTTTTATTTGAAACTTGGCGATTTCATGGCGTGATTTCTTGGCATTCCCACACGGTGATTAGGAACAGAAATAACCCAGAAGTGGCTCCTTTGTGCAGGCTGCGCAGGGCACAGGGTCGCAGAGGCCGGGATTCTGGGCCAGGCAACAGGCTTGGCGTCACTTGCCGAGCAGGAGACCGGCGCGCAGCACGCGGGGCACCCGGCGGATGGTCAGCGAGACCCGAGTACCCCGCACTAGGCGTGTTCCGGGACTCGCGGAGCGGCAGGCAGCAGCATTGGGCGGCAGGGAGGTGGGGTCCAGCTCGTCTACACTGGCAGGCGCAATACCATGGAGGAGGCTCGTGTAGGCGGGGCCTCGAAGCACCAGCAGGCTTCGAGGCTCCAGCAGCAGAGATGTGGCCGGCCTGGGTGGGGGCCGGGGCTACGGGGGAAGGTTCTCCATCAGACATCAGCGGAACCCCAGAGGGGCGGGGATGGAGGAGAAGTTGGAGGGGTGGGGTGGGGGGTGGGGGGCGGGTATCAAGAGATAAAGTCAATAAATTCCCAGGGGCACAGATAGAACAGTCAGGTGTGCTCAGAGGAAAGGATGTTTGGGGAGTGAAATCTCCCATGGGGGAGGGGGAAAGGTCCCAGGGCCAGAACTGCCGGTCTTTGCTGTCGGGGTGCAGAACCCAGGCTGCATAAAAGGGGTGTCTAAGGGAAGTGCAGTTGGATGGCAGGACCTCTGATCCCAGAACTGGGTGGGGCTGGGCATAGGGCAAAGGTGACGAAGGTGGCACATGGCACTGCAGAAGGAACTGTCAGGGTAGCCATGAGTTTGTAATTCTAAAATGGGGAGTCCTCAGGGCCATAGGGGCAGTATAGTGGGGAGGGTGCTTGCCTTGTGCATGGCCCACCAGGGTTCAATCCCTAGCTCCCCAAATGGTCTGAGTCTGCCATGAGTGATCCCTGAGTGCAGGGCCAAGAGTAAGTCCTGAACATAGCCAGATGTGGCCCCCAAACAAAACGAAACAAAAAATAAACAAGGTTTCCTGAGGAGCATCGAGTCCAGGGATGCTGCTATGAACTTCTGGGGTATCAGAAACATCATCCCAGGGAGAGGTCAGAGCACCCTCAGAGAAGGGAGTTGGGAAATCTGGGTAAGCCTTGAGCAAATCATGCACTAGGGTGTTAAAGAGACTCTGTCCTCCATAGCAGGTCACATTCTTGGCAAGCTGGGAGTGGCAGGGTGCTCTGTGCAGTGAGTATAGAATACTGAGGTGTCAGGGGTGACACAAGGATCATCGTGAGTGACTTGGGGGGTAGAGGAAGTGCGTATCTGCATGAACACCATGGAGCCCTGTGTAGGTCTGGTGGGCCTTGGGCTTTGGAGCACTGAGCATAGGAGGGCCACTGTGTGTGCTGTTTTGATTTCTAGGCACCCTATAGGCTGCTGGGCTAAAAATCTGGGAGGATAGAGGTGTGCTTCATTATCCCAGAGAGGGCCAAGGGAGGGGTCCTGGGGGAATTGTGGGTCCAAGTTGGTAGGAGGTCACTTACCTCTTCTGTGGGCTCATCATCCTTTGGCTGGCGGGGTTGGTAGAGATCCAGCATGGTGTGGGAACCTAGGCTGATGGTGCTGACAGTTGGGTAGTAGAGTGGCCCGTCCTCATGTGGCTATAGAGAATGGGCACCAGAGAGGGATAGAGCAGAAGTCCACACCCCCACCCCTGGGCCTCCCCAGATAAGGACAAGGAAAGGATGGGGGACACAGACAGGATGGACCCTGCCCCATGATGGATCTGAAAGCCAGGGCTTGGGGTGAGGGGATGTGGGGGTGTGGTTACCATGATGCCCTCCCCAGGCAGATACTGGTTCACAAGGACGTGGTTGGCAGGGGAGCCCCCAAAAAGGCTGAGGTCAGATACTTTGTCCACATAGCGCTGGAGCCACAGGGGCAGCCGTTCTGGAACCATCCCCCGGGGATGGGGGAGTCCACCTGTGGGGGAGAGGGGTCCTGAGGGCACCAAACCAAGGGTCCCCAGTGCTGGTAGCACTTTGACCCCAAGGGACCCCCAGCCCTCTGGAGGTCATCAACTCTCCAAAGGTTTAACTTTTCCAAAGCCCTGGAACCTTCAAGGTACCCACCAAACCAGCAGGAAATCTCCAACATCTTAGGACCTCCACCAACCCTTTGGACTCCTCCTGGCTCTGGGACCCCTTGAGTATTGAAGGGCCCCTACAGAGCTAGAGATTATCTATGCTGAACAGCATGTCCCAGCCTGCAACCCCACTCCACCAGGGACACTTACCCCAATTCTGTAACTTCCTCCCAGAGAGCTGGGTCCACTTTGGCTTGGGGGCGTTGAAGACCTGAGAGTGAGGAGGGGTTTCAGGACTGTCTTCTTTCTTTCCCCAAATTGGGCCACATATAGGTCATTTTTGTTTTTTTGTTTTTTTTTGGGGGGGGGCGCTTTTTGGGTCACACCCGGCAATACTCAGCAGTTACTCCTGGCTCTGCACTCAGGAATCACTCTGGCAGTGCTCAGGGGACCATAGGAGATGCCAGGGATTAAACCTGAGTCGGCTGTGTGCAAGGCAAATGCCCTACCACTGTACTATCACTCTACCCCCCCACACACACAGGTCTTAACTGGGGTGAACATGGGTCAGCACTATTTCCAGATCATTCTCAGGGGAACTTGGGATTTTGCCCTCTCCCCTAGGGAACCCACCTAGGCCTACAGGGATGGAGGGAAAGAACTGAGGCTACAACAGTCATAGTCGGAATCTACTCAGGGTTTGTAGGGGGCTGCACTAGACTCTTTCATCCCAGCAATCCATAATTTCCAGATGCCTGAACTATCTCAGCACAGTATGAGTTCTGGAATCTTCTTGCCCCAATTGCCTTTGGGAGGGAACATCTAAATCTAGCATAGTGAAGAGAGTGCTTTGAAGATACTCCACTGCTATGGTCCTAAAGGTCTATAATGGGCAGTTTCTAAATCTTTATCTCTCAATAACCTCCTTATTGCTGTCATGGTTATGGGCAGGGACTGAGGTTATTCCCACCCAGATTTTCTAAGGTATAATATTCTTCAATCGCGGTAACTCGAATGAGGACTGGAGAGACAGTATAGCGGGTAAGGCTCTTGTCTTACGTGTGGCCAACCTGGCTTTGATCCTCAGCATCCCGTGTGGTCCCCTGAGCCTTACCAGAATCCCTGAATGCAGAGCCAGGAGTAAGACCCAAGCATCGCCAGTTGTGGCCCAGAAACCAAGAGAAAAAAAAAAGGGGGGGGGGGATTCAAATACCTGGAATAGACTTTCAACATATGAGTAAGTATTCTGTAGTTAACTTATTTCTAGTCCCCAAACTTGACTGGACCAGCTAGGACAACACTAGGAAGACCTCAGTTCTATAACGAAGGCTCTGAGGCTGCAAGAGGCTCTCCCAATGCAGGAACTCTGAACTCTGTAAATTGTTCTGCCCCCAAACTATAAGCAGAACAGGCATCATAGGCTGGCTCAGCACAGGTGGTCTGGGCTTAGGGACCTCGTTCCCAAGACACTGGGACTCTGCTGGGTGAGCTGACCCCCAAAGGAGAGTGGACTCAGATCACTCAGATGCCCTTCTATCTCAGGACAGAAATCTGAAAGGGGCTCCCTCTCTCTCTCTCTCTCTGAATGGGGCTCTCTCTCTCTCTCTCTCTCTCTCTCTCTCCCCCCCCTCTCTCTCTATTTATGACATCCTTTACTTGAAGAGAGCGGGATTGGATTGTCTCTGCCCAGAGTCTGTGCTCCATCAAGACCACCTCTTTTGGGGGAAGAATCACTGGTCCTTTCTCAGGGGCTGGAGCGATGGTATAGTGGATAGAGTGTTTGCCTTGCACACGGCCAACCTGAGTTCAATTCCCGCATTCCATATGGTTCCTTGAGCACCACCGGGAATAATTCCTGAGCTCAGAGCCAGGAGCAACCCCTGAGCAATGCCAGATGTGACCCCAAAACAAAACAAAACAAAACAAAAGCATTCTTTCTGATAGAGCCCTGAAAATTATGAGAGAGGAAGAGGAAGGGTGGGGAACGGGTGCGCTGTGGTGCTTTTTCCCCTTCCATCCTGGTGGGCTCTTACACAGGAGATGGGAGTTGGAGGGGTAAAACAGACCAGAAGGGCACTGGGGTCACCTGCCGAAGCAAATACTCCTCCTCTTCCTCGGAGATGAAGTCAGGGACGTAGTAGATTACAGGTGGTGCCTAGAATAGAGAGACACCCCCCGCTTGAAGTATGACACCCCCTATATGATGTATACAGGAGCTCTACCATCACTGTGCTCCCTCGTCAGCAGTGCTCAGGATGCCCCCAGAGGAGCTAGGGTCTCAGAACCATTTTGGGAGGGGGCGTGGGTGTGAGTATGAAGCGGCTGGACCCTGAGGATCAGCCTGAATGTGACGGGAGGGGGAAGTCTCAGCTCACAAATGGAATAGTTGCCCTGCCCTTCCCATCCTGCTCTATACCCCCCACCCCACCCCCGGCTCCTCCTTCACCCTCTGAACCCTCCTCCTGACAACCTGCTCCACCAGGAATGGCTCCAGGGCTGGGACCCTGACATGCTGATCCTCTGTCGACACCGACTCCATGCACCCAGTCCTGTGAGGGGAGACGAGATCACCAATCACCCTTCACATTCACGCTGATCCTCAGGGTCCAGCTGCTTCACACTCACTCTCCACTCCCAAAATGGTTCTGAGACCCTAGCACCTCTGGGGGCATCCTGAGCACTGCTGACGAGGGTGCACAGTGATGGTAGAGCTCCTGTATACATCATATAGGGGGTGTCATACTTCAAGGGGACACCAAAAGATCACTTTTCCCCCTCAGCTATGGTGGATTGTCTGCTCCAACATCCACTGGGTGAAACTCACTTGGTTTCTAAATTAAGTGCTCAGCAAGTCAATTACCACCCATTGAGTTGCCAGAACAGTGCCCCAAACTCCATCTAACAGGGTCCATCAAACTACATATATCTGCTCCACACATACTACTGGATACATCCCAGAACCCCTTTAAACATGCTCATCCACCTTAGTAACTTCAGATCTGTATTCCTGAACAGGGATCCCTAACAGCATTCAGGATCCCCATGGACCCTCCTCCTCCCTCAAGGTCGCTCCGATGCCCCTTTCTGGCTGGGGAAGTAGCTCCGCGGTTGAGCACTTGCTTCGCATGACGGAGGCCCTGGGTTTGACCCCGAGAACACCAAGGCAAAAAAAAGGGGATGCCTCCTCCCCTTTTGCTCCTAATCTGAACCTAATTTGTCCCTCCGTCCGCTCCGATCCTCCCCACTCTAGACCGTGTCAGGCACCCCTTCCCGAGCGCCGTATTACCGCAGGCCCTCTAAACCAGAGTCTAACTCCTCAAACCTTCCCAACCCCTCAGATTCCCCTCCTCAGAGTCTTCTGGGGCTCCACAGTCTGAGCGTCCACGGACTCCCATCTGCGGCTTCCCAGTCCCCCATTCTCAGCCCTCTCAGACCTTCATCTTCACCCTTAGTCACCCACAAACTGACCGTCCACCAGAGAGTCCCCTCCAAAATCCAAATTCAACAACCCCATCCCCTTCCAAGTCACTTCCGCCTCACATTCCCGACGCAGGAATTTCTGGCCAATGGGAACTCTCAAAGAGCCTAAGCGCCCGCCTTCCATCCAATCGGCGCTCTCATCGGATTCCTCCGCCCGCCCCTTCACCGTCGTTCACTGATAGGCTACGCCTCCTGGCCTCTGAGCCACTGGGGACCAGTGTCGGAGGCGGGTGTTCGTCTGACAACGACCAATCAGAGCTCCGGGAGCGAAACCGTCCACACTGCGGCCCAGACTGGAGAAGGCGCCGTAGCGGCTGCAGAAGTACCAGCCGCTCTAGAAGCACTGCAGCAGCCTAGAGCATCATTTCATGCTGCAGAGACGAGATGAAAAGGATTCCCTCTCCCCTCTCCGCAACACGGCTACAGAGGCAAACACTGACTTCCCCCCACACGGCAGAGAGGCAAACACAGAGAAACCATAGAAACGTCTTTATTGAAGGGGGCAGGGGGGTCATGCTGAGGGGACATGCAGTGAAGGGGCAGTTGTGAGCTGTCCTTGGTGGTCAGGGCCCCAGATCCGCCCTGGACCCCCCTGGGCCTTCCAGGGTCTCCCTCAGACTGTTGGTCTGGCCCGGATGCTGTTGAGGTCCTGTGGGCCAGTCCCTCAGATTTGGTGTTTGGGACCTGTGACCAGAAGGCAGATCAAGATGAGGGCTCCAGGATTTGAGATCCCCTCAAGGCCTTGGGGCCCTTCGTGTATTAGAGATGGAGTTTTAGGATTTAGGGTTCCCTTGGGGCTGGGGCTCTTGGAATTTGAGTGTCTTGAGATCCATGAAGGTGGTGTTCAAGTCCTCTCGTTTCCAGGGATGAGTTCCTGTTTGGGTTCTCCTGGTGCCTATGAACAGGGCTTGAGGTGCCAAGGTAGCCCGGGATGTATATCCTGGCTGCAGTCTCCTTCATCCCAGGCACAAGGACCTCCATAATTGGGGTTACCAGAGGGCTGAAGATTGGATTTTTAAATTTGGGATTCTTTGGGGATTCCCCCTCTCCCAAATCCATGATTTGAGGAACCTGGGAGTTAGGGTCTTGGGGTCTTCTAAGGGGTTACAGGACTTGGAACAGGGGAGTTTGGGAAATGTACTCTTGGGGCTTAGGATCCCCGGAGTGTTAGAATGGGGCCTCCAAATTTTGGGGTTCCCCAAAGGGGGAAGTCATTAAAAAATAGATAATTTTTCTGGGAACCTGGCCAGCACAGCAGCTGTGGGCCGTGTAGGGTGGGCTTCATACAAGGCACTGGGGGTTTCTTGAGGGTGCAGAGGGCAGGAAGACTTGGGGGTCCTGTAATTAGCACTTCCAGGACTGTTTTGGTGTCTATAAATTGGAGGTGACAGTAGGCTGGCTGATGTGGGTTTCTTCTTGAGATGTAAGAGCAGGGGTCTTTGTTAATGGCAGGGATCAATCTGTGATTGCAGTGTAAGGAATCTAAGATGAACATGGGGGGCGGTCACAGATTCTTGAGGGGCTGATGTTCAATGTAGGAGAGTGGCATGAAGGTCTCTTACTGTTGTTCTGGAGGTGTGACCTGTGTTTAGTCAAGGGGTCCTGATGGGTGGGGGTGGGGGGACTTGACAATGAGTGACTCGGGAATGTTATGTGGAGGAGCATCCTGTAGAGAAGATCACCATCATCTGGGGAAGGGGGAGGATGCAGAAATCTGTTTAGGGGTTCTGCTCTGAGGGGTTAGGATAGGAACTAGCCTGAAGTTCTACACTCAGGGAATCTCTTTCTGGGTAACTTGGGGGTCTGTATTTGGGAGGTTATTATGTTAATGGGGCCTCAAGTGGCTGAGGGCTGGCTAATGGGGTCTCTATTCTGGATGTGTTACTGGGAATCTATCTCAGGGTGACTTGGGAGCGCCTTGTGTCAGGAGACACTAGAGGGGTTCTGGGGTTCTTTTGTGGGCTAGGCCAGGCCCCTAAGACTGCATCTCTGCCCTCAGCATCCAGGGAAACCAGCAGCAGAAGAGCAACCTGGAATGGAAAACCAGTCACATCTAGGTGTGGGGCCATGGGGACCCATCACTAAGCTCTCCCCAAGGCAGGTATCTGGTGTGTGTGTGTGTTGGGCGGGGGGGGTCTCCCTCTCTGGTGAGGCCTTCTCAGCCGATGCAGAGCTGAGGGCAGTCTCCCTCTTTCACCTATCCCAGCCAGGACTAGGGAGAGCTCAGAGCCCAGTGTGCACAGGGCCCCAGCTTGCACCCCATGAACTGCCACCCCAGAACCAGTGACCCCCAGAGCCCCTGAGGTAGTGCAAGCCAACAAGTCACCAAAATTCAGTGTGGGGGACTCAGTCCCTAAAGACTCTGGGTCAGCAGACAGCTCCCATGTTCTCCTAAGCAGCATTCCCAGCCCCCGCCAGAGCGCCAGAGTCCCTGGGCAGCCTGTGAGAGGTACTCCATGAGCACACCCAGAAGGGCCAGGGGGCGGCTACACACCTGGAGATGGAGTTCTCTGAGGCGATGTCCTTTGGGGTCCGGACTGTCGTGAAGGTGCGTTTGGGCTGTGTCACTGAAGAGGGGGGCAGGATCCCAGATGAAGGATGACAGACTTTCCTGGGCCCTTAGTCCCACCTCAGCTTCATTACTACTCACCCCTCCCCAGTCCCACCATGATCCCAAGTTACATATGCCCAACTGGACCTCTTGTGAAAAATATCCCGTGACCCCCAGTATCCATGTCCCCAGAGCCTGCCTATAGCTGTCACTAGCATCTCTGTACCCCATAGCACCTCTCCTCTTGGGGATTCTGTCATCATTTTCTTGGACCTCTGTCCCCACTTAAATAACGGAGTTTAAATTCTTTTTTTTCCTTTTTGGGTCATACCCGGCGATGCATAGGGGTTACTCCTGGCTCTGCACCCAGAAATTACTCCTGGAGGTGCTTGGGGGACCAGATGAGATGCTGAGAAACGAACCCAGGTCAGCCGTGTGCAAGGCCAACGCCCTACCTGCTGTGCAATCACTCCAGTCCCAGGGGGGTTAAATTCTTGTCACCTCATATACCTGAGATCCTGCAGCCCTAACTTCTCTTCCAGATCTTCCCACCCCAACTCACTTGTGACTTGATGCACTTTTTTGGCTCCAGCATTGTCTCCGGGGGGGTCAGTAGATCCACCAATTCTGGGGAGACATGGGAAGGGGTGGGAGAGTCAGAGACACAAGGGCCTGACCAGGAGCCAAGCCCCAGGCCTGTGGGAAAGAGTGTAAGTGGCGATCCACACCCTCCAAGGCAGCTAAGGGTTTGGTGTGGGGTCAGAAGTGGGGATCAGGGAGCTGGGGTGGGAGGGAAGCCTGCACTCACCTCTGAATCCGGGATGCTGGTGCAAAGACTCCATGCCGTGGTGGACAGGTGAAGTAGCGAACACCAAAGACGGAGCCGTCATGCTTGCCTGTGGGCTGGTCGAGCTCGATGCCGTACCAGTAACCTGCAGTGGGAAGGTTTCAGGACGCCCCAACACCCTCAGGACCCCCAGCCCAGGTCCCCAGCCTTACCCGGAGCAAAGTCTGTCTTCCCGTAGAAGCGCACGATCCCCTGCTTCTGGCCGGCAACGAGCACCTGGTCTCCGACCTCAGCCTTGGCCCCATCGCGCTGCTGCAGGCTGCCCAGGGATGGGGAGGATGGGGGCTTCTTCTTGCCTGGGGGTGCAGAGTGCAGGGGCAGGATAGGGGGTGGGGTTCTCTAAGTGGCTTGGCGTTCTCCCATGGAGAAAAAAGAAACTCTCCTCTGATTCCAATCAGAGGAACTCAAGAGCCTTCTCCCAAAGTTTTTTTTTTTTTTTTGCTATTTGGGTCACACCCAGCGATGCATTGGGGTGACTCCTGGCAGTGCTGAGGGGACCATAGGGGATGCTGGGAATCAAACCTGGGTTGGCCGCGTGCAAGGCAACCGCCCTATCTGTTGTGCTAGTGCTCCAGCCCCTCTCCCAAACATTTTGTTGTTGTTGTTGTTGTTTTGAGGGGAGCCACACTTAGCGGTGCTCAGAGCTTGTTCCTATCTCTGCACTCAGGGATTACTTCTAGCAGGTTCTCAAACCATATGAGGTACAAGGGATTGAACCCGGGTCAGTGATGTGCAAGGCAAGCACTCTACACTGTATTATTGCTCCTGCCTGTATTTTTGGTGGGGATGGGGGCATGGGGAAAGCCATACCTGGCAGTGCTCAGGACTTACTTCTGGCTCTGTACTCAGGGATCATTCTTGGTGGGCAAAGGGGACTATCTGGGATGCTGGGAATCGAACCCAGGTTATTCTCGTGCAAGGCAAGTGCCCTACCTGCTGTACAATCTCTCCAGGTCCCCCTTTTTAAATTATTATTTTTGGGGATTTGGGGGTCATACCTGGTAGTGTTCAGGGCTTACTCCTGGAAGGTCAACAACACTCAGGATCATTCAGACCATTTGAGGTGCTGAGGATTGAACCCAGTTCAGAAGTGGGCAAGGCAACTGCCGTAACAACTATACTATCTGTTGAGCCCCACTTCCGAACTTTGGGGCTTTGGTTTGAAAAGAACACTGAACTCCACTGTCACAGAACTAGAGGATAGACTTTAGGCCCAAGGGGAAACTGAGTCAATATCTGCAAAACAAACTTCTTTGTTCTGGTATTAAAAAAAAAAGTAAGGGAACAACAAATGGACAAAACCATTTGCCCTGGATATCTGGTCTATGGAATTGAGCTTACATGGGGGGTGAGAGGAGTGGGGGTTAGGAGGGACCCTTGGGATACTGGTGGAGAGAAGTGGGCTCTCTGGTGATGGAATGACATATGCACAAAAAGTATGATTTACTGTATTGTTAATTCCAGTATCACAATAAAAATTAAAAAAATAAAAACCAAAAAAACCCCACTGGGCTGGAGCAATAGTATAGCAAGAAGAATGCTTGTCTTGCATAGAGCCAACCCACATCTGATCCCCAGTACCACATATGGTCCCCTGAGCTCTCCAGGAGTAATCCCTAAACGCAAAGCCA